TTAGCAAAATATTCAAGATTAACTTGCGTAGAATCATTCACTGGCGAGTTGAAATAATATCAATCTAATTTATGCGATTTTGTATTTTATCTTCAAGGTCCAAACAATTGTAACAAGAATTCTAAAGGAGTGAACATAATACAGACAGAGAATGGTGCAAGATTCCTAGCAGTATGCGATGGTGAATGGCTGGTTGTTGCCCACAGATTTGACGGCAGTGTGGATTTTCCATCTTTCTACCACACTTACGAAGTCGTAGATGAAGCAAATATCAAATATGGCGAAAGCTTTGGTCATCCGCCTTCTGAGTATTTCATAGGTCTCAACAATCTTCAGGCAGCTGCCAATCAGGGCATGTACGAGATACGCTTTGAACTGACAACGTTTGACGGGGAGGTTAGAAATGCTAATTACCTAGAATTTGATATGACTCATTATGATCCGTACACTAGGCCTACTAGTATGGTTGGCCTATTAGTATAAAGAATGCATGCGTTGTTTACAGGTGTGTAGGCGTTAATTACGCTCGTGTAGATGTAAAATTACGCCCGTGCTGACGAAAAATTACGCCTGTGTAGGCGTAAATTACATCTTCACGCCCGTGGAGTTTATTTTTAGCGCCGTAAATTATGAACCAATCAGAACCTTACTTACATGATGATTTAATGCATCCTTGCTAAAAGAGCAACTCCGAGATACTTGCGCTAGTAAACAACAATCAGAAGCCTGCTTACATTTTAGTGTGTTGCATTGAGGTCCTTAAATATTCGTTCAAGATTGAACTAGATTTAACCAAAGAAGTATTCATTTTTTTAGAGCAAATTATATTAAAAGGCAAATTGAAGAGACATGTACTGTGTTGGCAGTTATCAACACCCATTGTAGAAACGACAAAATTACAGAGTATCTTGAGAAGGTATACATGTTTGGTTTCTAAATACGATGATTTTTGGATAATTCTCCAATCTAGGCGTCGGCTTCAGAGGTAGGCTAGGTAGGGACTTATTAAGCTCACACGCATTGCAGCTTACAGTCTCATTATACAGTCAGATCGCTAATGTATCCCTCTAAAGGATGTGTCCAGGTACTAGAATTATAGTATCTAATCGACTGCAAATCTAGACTATATCCTGCAGAGCTGGCATTTTTTGAAAATGTACTGAAAATGTCAAATGAGCCTATATACCTAGTATACCTAGCCAACATATGTTCAAATTTGGTGTTAGGGAGATGTGTACTTTTTGGAATCTTTATGCAGCCGTCTTTATATGTCACATGTTATTTCCAGGAATACATAACTCATTTGCTTCCTAGTCAACTTGTACCCAAGACAACTCGTACCCAAGACAACTTGTACCCAAGACAACTCGTACCCAAGTCAACTGGTACCCAAGACAACTCGTACCCACGTTTATTTTCTGTATTATGGGTGCATATAAGAAAACAAATTGAGTCTGTGTCAAAATGTTTAATGTTATAATGTGCGTCAATATTTTTTCTGAATTTAGAAGACATTTTTTCTCAATGGATTAAGCAAAGCATTTTGTTTTAACTTGGATTACCTTTGAAGTGCTTTGAAGGGCTTGTTCTCAACTTTTTTTGTAATACATATATATAAATGAATATAATTACAAAAGTAACTTTTCAACAAATGAATCAAACAATTAATTTAGCTTAGTGCATTCAGAGAAATTAATAATGGAACTTTAATCTGTTAATTTCTTTTCCATTTTGAACTTAATTGGATTATATTTGAACACATGCATGCAAAGTGTATTATATCATGTATGAATAAGTATCAAAATAATATTTGATATTCATATTATTTAGAATATTTTTTATTGCTTAATTTTATGAAGGTGACTTCTTAGAATTATCATTCTTTTATCTGATAATATGAAATCCTAAATAGATTATCTGTTTAATAAGAAGTTTTGAAAATAATAGCAAGTTTTGAAAATCTTTATATTTTTGATAATACCATATTTCAAGATGAATTAGATCTGATACTTGTTCCAAACACTCATTAACATACAAAAATACCACTAATATTGTGAACAATGATTATGAATATGTTGAATAAACATAAATCTCTTCCCTCGAACATCTGAATCTGTGACCAATATATTTGGTCACAAATTTCAATCAATTTCTTCCAAAAACTCTTTTACATACTTCAAACTATTCTGAACTGTATGTAACCATTATAATATGTATATCTATACCCATTCCCAGCCCAACACTTGATTCAAAACAAAACATATACTTGGGTACGAGTTGTCTTGGGTACGAGTTGTCTTGGTACGACTTGACTTGGGTACGAGTTGTCTTGGGTACGAGTTGACCAGTTACCACTCATTTAATATACGATGTAAATCTTTCACATTTGCACAAATAGTGCACCGAGATATCCAGAAAAGAAATAATATTTCATATGCCTCCAATTGCAACAGTTGTTCCTGGCACAATCATGAGTATGTTATTAACTTGCACAAGGATCTTGGAGTTGTACTTTTAGCTATAATGCATCGTATCATCATGTAAGCAAGATGCTGATTGGTTCATAATTCACGGCGCTAAAATGAACTCGACGGGCGTGAAGATGTTTCTCAGCGCGTGTAAAATAACAGTCTTAACGCCTGTAAATGTATTCTGAACGCCCGTAGAATTTACTTCTTCACGGGCGTAATTTACGCCTATACAGGCGTAATTTTTCGTCAGCACGGGCGTAATTTTACATCTACACGAGCGTAATTAACGCCTACACACCCGTAAACAACGCATGCATTCTTTATACTAATAGGCCAACCATACTCGTAAGTCCTTCATGATGATATATTTCGATAAATATAAGGGAAACGCTGGAGATTGTACATTTCAAACGGATTTTGACTACGCGGCTCGCTGGTGGAGCCCATATGAGCCACCTGATGAACGTTTTCACTGCAGCAACGTTAACTTATTTTGGTCTTACGACCGTATGCATTGGTATGGTACATTGAGATCAGATCACTACAACATCGACCCTACTCATATAAATATCACAATAAAAGAAATGAGAATCATGACACGACAACGTCCTATTGACCCTAACATATGTGGCAAAGATAAATCAAACACAGAACTGAGTGGTGACCTAATTGCAAAATGTGAAGACGATTGGTTAGTTGTGGCTCATAGATTTGATGGAAGCGTTGATTTTAATCGCAGTTGGTCTGAGTATAAAGCTGGATTTGGAAATACATCGGCAGAGTTCTTTATAGGCCTTGAACAGTTAAATTACATGACGTCGCGTAATGTATTTCTGGTAAGAACTGAGACGACAGCATTGAACGGTTCTAAGAGCTATGAAGAGCACACAAGATTTATAATTGATCAGGAAGTCGAATTCTATCGTATGAATTTTGGGTATTATGATTGTAGTCTTGAATTTTCAACTCATGACAAGAATCAAAAATCTTGCGCACTTGAGAAAGGACCACTCTGGTACAATGAAGACTGCTCTTACAGTATGTGTGCACACCATTTATATTTAACACCCTATGAAAATATTAAAACATCGTTCAAAGATATGAAAATGATGATTAAACCTGATCGGATCCCTTGCATGGAAGGTATTGATGGTCTCAATACAATACAACTTGGCAATGAAAAATCTTTTGAGGCTCAATGTAATGATAGATGGTTAGTTGTAGCCCACAGATTTGACGGAAGCGTGGACTTTAATCGTTCGATGGATGAGTATAAATCTGGTTTCGGAAATCCTCAAGGGGAATATTTTATTGGTCTCGATAACTTGTTTGAATTGTTGGAACACGAAATTCATAGATACGTTTTAAGACTAAAATTTACAACATGGGCTGGCGATACCGAGTTTGATGAGTTTCACGGTTTCTACGCAACTGAAAATTACCTACGAGTTGACGATTATCGAGGCACTGGGTTATTTGATAGGGAAGTGAGATTCCGTTATGGTCGGCCATATTTAGACTACGCAACTTATTCTGATTATTATGATAATCTGGTGAGCAGCAAGAAGTACACTTTTGAAACCTGGGATAAGACAGATACGGAATGTCCTCAACTCCGAAGGGGAGCGTGGTGGTACAAATCACCTGGCTGTGGACGTGTCAACCCATTTGGGCATTATATGAATGGGGCCAAGTGCGATGTAAAATATGGTTGCATGGGCTGGATGGGTTGGCCTAGAGAGCTCTTCAATGCGTCTGAGCGACAGGAAAACAAAGAACTCGACAATGGCTGGTACTCCTTCAAAGAGATGAAGTTTCTCATACGCCTTAGAAAGTCTTAATGGTGATAATGGGGGTGTCTATGGAACGGGAGCGGTACTAGACACAATGGAAACGTTTTTAAATGAAAATGTAGGGCATTGGCTTCTCAAAAGCGAGAGAAAATGTTGATCTTTATATGGACTGTCACAGAAATATATATTTTCCTGAATCTGAAGTCATATATCGTTTTGTTATGTCATAGAGTGCTTTACTACAAGCGCATTATTTGGTATCAAGTGCTTGCAATGGGGGGTGGGGGGCTGGAAACGCGTAGAGTAATTTCGTTCGAAGAACAGGTAGGTGTAATTTTATTCGTTTTATTTGGTAGTCCGTGAACGTGTTTCCTCACCTGCCAATAGTATATGTATAGGATCATATACATTCCCAGTACTTTGGGGAAACATTCCATTGTTATCAATTGACAGCCACCCATCTAGGTTTTCAAAAACATGGGCTTAACCAAAAAATATTTTGATTTTAAACAAAATTTCCATAGTTAACCTCACATTATTGAAAGGTAAATAGTACCATGGGTACTGGCCCCACATGGTGTTGCTCAAAAAGACAAAAGTGAACGATGTCTAAAATGGCCGACAATAAACAGCAGATATAAATGTTTGCCAATTTCTTTTTACAAAATTATCTCATTAAACTAATGTTTACAGTGACTTATGTTTAAACAATGCAGGACACTTGAAATTAACTATAAAGCTACTGAATGGTCCAAAAGTGAAATTTCCGTGACTAAAATGGCGGCCACTTTGAAAATAGGTAAGTGTCTGAGTGAGCTTTTGGACCGGGACTAGGGACTTCAGCAATTGAAAAGGAACCAAAATAGGAAACCTATTGACCAAGGTTTTAAAACGTGCCACTATTGTTGGGTGACTGAGAGACAAATGGACAAATCAGTGAGGTGTGATCCATATCCATCCGCCAAAAGGTATGACCCCTATATAGTCCATTTATGGGGTTTGTAGAAAAATCCGGTTACCGGGTACAGGGTAGTAAATCCTCTATGCTGGGTTCAAACTTGGTACCCGGTCGAAAAAACCGGGTACCCAAAAAACGACAAACACGAATATATAACATTATTAATTAGATCATTAGAAAACGTGTAAGATTTTTTTTGAATTTACAAAAAAGTATGTTACTTCCTTCAAAATTTAGCTAGAAGCTTCAAATAAAAAACATTTTAAGGCTCTTTTCTTCCTTTATCATCATGGTCATATTTTCATTGGTTATGAGGGGGGGGGGGTGAGATCGCACCATCCTCCTGGCTACGCCTATGACATTGTAAGACGATTTGAAAAACATGACAAATCAATCTTACTCTATAACAATAGTTCATGTGTTAGTACGTGAATTGTTTTGATTATGATCTAAATCTGTAAAAACTATCGTCAGAGAGGTGACGTGTGTAAATTTACATGATGCAACGTGTAAGATTTTGATTATTAATCATAATTTAAGTTATCCCAATTTTCGACGAAACGTCCACTGAAGTGTAAATTGTTACGTCTTACAATGTCAAAGGCGTAGCCAGGAGGGGGTGCGATGAAAATATGACCATGGTGATAGATGAAGAAAAGAGCCTTAAAATGCCTTTTATTTGAAGCTTCTAGCTAAATTTTGAAAATTTTTGTAAATTATAAACAAATCTTACACGTTTTCTAATGATCTAATAATGTTATACGAGGGTTGATCATAAAGTTCTCATAATATCTCTCTAATTTCTTTATTTTTCAATATATTCTAATGAAATTTTCACAGAATGTGCAGCATAGAATGTCTTATTAATTCAGCAAAAATATTTAGTTTAACAGAAATATTAAATAAGGAAATGTTGCCATAGTAACGGGAAATCAAGGCACCCGGGGCAAATAAAAATAACTGAGAGAATGAGCTTAATTAACCATGTTTACATACATAATAAACTCTCATGAATTACCAAACACGTTAAAATGTCAACTTGAATATGTTGTAAAGCGCTTTAACAATTAAGTAAACCGATCGTGTAAATTGTGTGATGTCAAAGGGGGTGCTTTCATGCTCCATTAGATGTGATACCAGAGTCTGACTCAAAGCTAATGATCAGAAATGACTGAGTAAGAGAATGCGATAGATGCAGAGATCTTCAGAAAAATAAAATTCATACTGATAAAATGTTATGTTAAGTTTGTAAGATCCTTTGGTCAGACTAAACATGATCTAAAACAAATATATTGCTAGGTATCAACAAAATTACACTCTGTGTATGGTCTGTACGTGTTAAAAATGAACTAAAGGGGCAAAATCAATTTTCCTCGGGATATTTGACAAAACAGTCACGGGGTCTAACAGTCACTTCTAATGAAGCATAACAATCCATTATGAGATCATACAATTCACATGACCATTATAATAGTTCACTACAGTCAAGAGCCCATATTATTTGACAATTTAATGTGTTTGATAGCTCATTTGACAACTTATATTGTACTTAAACATGGTTAATGGGGGCTATTCTTGCTAGTTTTTTTTATTTGCCCCGGGTGCCTTGATTTCAAGTTACTATGGCAACCATTTCTTATCTGATATTTCTGTTATTCTGAATATTGTTTGTTGGATTAATAAAAAATTCCATGCTGCACATTCTGTGAAAATTTCATAGGAAAATATTGAAAAATAAAGAAATTAAAGAGATATTATGAGAACTTTATGATCAACCCTCGTATATTCGTATTTTTCGTTTTTTGGGGACCCGGTTTTTTCGACCTGGTACCATTTATGGCTTTGATTTTGTTCTAAATAACGACATAGTTGGCTTCTAGGGTACCTAGTTTGCTATTTTTGGTATCAAAATAAAGAGGAGTTCAACTTTCATTTTAATTACGAAAATATCGATGTAGGTCAAAATAGTTCCAACGTGAGCATGTTTACTACGCGTGTGCCCGTCATCTCAGAATTGATCAAATGGTAGCAAGCGCGAGTTATAATAAATGGACGCTGATATCTCAAAAAGTAACCTGACTCCCTATTATTTTATCTAGATCAATCGAACCTCTATATGAACAAGTACATTTAACTATGGGGGGTAAGCGTTTCATAGTTGTTCACGAACGCCATATGTGCAAAGTAGTGCTCAGTTATCCCTTGCCAGGACTGGCACGGGATAAGTGTTCAGAATTTTTGAATTTCGTGTTGGATTACGGTACACACCATGATAACTTACTAAAATGGCTGACAATAAAAAAAAACAGATAGGCCTAGAATTTTTTGCGGATTTTTTATAACAAATTGATTTCTTAAACCACTGTTTACAGTGACATGGGTATTTGCATTTAAAATGCAAAACACCTGAAATTATTTATAAAGCTACTAAATGGTCCAAAAGTGAATATTGCGAGACAAAAATGGCGGCCATATTGAAAATAGGCGAGGCTTTGAACCACGAGTTTTAGGGGGCTTTCCTGTATTGATGTTCAACAATGTGGACTGACTGAGAGACAGATGGGCAAATCAATGATATCTAAAATTGCTGCCAATTTTTTGTTTCAAAATTATTTCATAAAACTACTGTTCACAGTGACAAGGCTTTTTACAGTGCAGGCCACCTAAAATTATTTTAAAGGTACTAAATGCGAGACAGAATGGGCGGCCATCTTGAAAATAGGCAAACGTGCCACGATGGACTGACTTAGAGACAGATGGGCAAATTAATGATAACTAAAATGGCTGAAAATGAAATTGCGGATATAAATTTTTGCCGATTTTTTCTTACAAAATTATTCCATAAAACTACTGTCTACAATGATTAACCTTTATTAATAAAGCTACTTAATGGTCCAAAAGTGAATTTTCCAAGAAAAAATGGGCGGCCATTTTGAAAATAGGCAACCTTTTGAACCAGGACTCATAGTTTTTTCTCTACTGATGTTGAACAAAAATAACTTAAAACGGGAATCCTATCGACAGAGGTTTTAAAACAAATGGTAAAGAGTGGATTTTGCAAGATAAAAATGGCGGTCATTTTGAAAATAGGCGAGCTTTTGAACAGAAGTAATAGTTGAGGGGGGGGGGGTTCTTTAATGATTTTGAAAAATAATAAATTAATACGGGAATCTTATCAACAGATGTTTTAAAACGTGCCAATATTGTTGACAGACTGACGGACGGACGGACGGACTGACGGACAAACGGACAAGTGGGTGATTGGAAAAGCTCATACCCAGAGCTTTGGGTGTCAATTTGTGACAATTGAATGTTTCCCGATGTTTGAAAAGTCTAATCACATCCGCAAAATAAATTCAATGTAATGGAATCAAATCAATTACCCAAAACAAGTTGATACATTCTGACTTCAATTTCAATTCTACTTTTACCTATGACCGACCGATCCAGCTCAGTTAGGTAGAACGTTTGAGCCTTTTTAATATTTTTTTTGTATAAGCCATTTATTTCCATCACTTATTTGACATTTTCAACAACTCTGTTATGTTGTTTTTACATTTTTATTCACTACACATACACCATGTTCAATATACAATACATCAATTCATATTTTATTTTGAACCCTAAAACATATATATTACTTGAATATCTCACTCAACGTTATATGTACAATACCATATGCGAAATGTGTTCTTGAAACTCCGCTCATTTTTACAAATGGTAAAATCAGAACCAACTCCATCTTTACATCAAGGAAGCCTTTAACATCAAGCTGGCAATGTCCTAATAAAGAAAGACCCTGAAATGTAACGTCCATTATGATCTACGGGTGTGGCCCTCATATTCTCCTAAGCTCTCCTTTGATGACCCCGGCCTCAGCGAGAATAGCAATAATTAGGAAGGCGACGTAAAAGACTACCATAACAATTCCATACGCTCTGCCCACCTAGAACAGAAAACAGCAGTACATATTAGCGAACACCTTTGGTACATATTGATGGGAATAACTGATTGATAATATGAAGGTAAATTCAAACTCACATTTTTGAAAAATGCTATACTCTTGTGTCTTACATAATTTTTAATGAAAATTTCCTTGTTGTAATCATTTAATGAGAAACTTTGTGAAGTAATTTAAAAAATAACAAATGACCATTCAATTGTTTTCTAGTGAGAAGCTTTTTTATCACCTTAATTGGGAGTTGTACCTGAGATAAACAAATCCAAACTTACAGTGATAAGTAGACAAGAAATTCTATTTATTTTTGGACAAATGAAAAGCAATGAAAGCATTTACCTTAAAGTTGAAGATAAGAGGCATGGAGACGAAAGTGATGAGAAGACTGCCTGCCATAGCTGCGGTGAGGATAATCTGTTGCATACTATAAGTTAGCTGGAAGACAATAACGCTGTATTATTGGATAACTTGTTGCATACTATAAGTTAGCTGGAAGACAATAACGCTGTATTATTGGATAACTTGTTGCATACTATAAGTTAGCTGGAAGACAATAACGCTGTATTATTGGATAACTTGTTGCATACTATAAGTTAGCTGGAAGACAATAACGCTGTATTATTGGATAACTTGTTGCATACTATAAGTTAGCTGGAAGACAATAACGCTGTATTATTGGATAACTTGTTGCATACTATAAGTTAGCTGGAAGACAATAACGCTGTATTATTGGATAACTTGTTGCATACTATAAGTTAGCTGGAAGACAATCACGCTGTATTATTGGATAACTTGTTGCATACTATAAGTTAGCTGGAAGACAATAACGCTGTATTATTGGATAACTTGTTGCATACTATAAGTTAGCTGGAAGACAATAACGCTGTATTATTGGATAACTTGTTGCATACTATAAGTTAGCTGGAAGACAATAACGCTGTATTATTGGATAACTTGTTGCATACTATAAGTTAGCTGGAAGACAATAACGCTGTATTATTGGATAACTTGTTGCATACTATAAGTTAGCTGGAAGACAATAACGCTGTATTATTGGATAACTTGTTGCATACTATAAGTTAGCTGGAAGACAATAACGCTGTATTATTGGATAACTTGTTGCATACTATAAGTTAGCTGGAAGACAATAACGCTGTATTATTGGATAACTTGTTGCATACTATAAGTTAGCTGGAAGACAATAACGCTGTATTATTGGATAACTTGTTGCATACTATAAGTTAGCTGGAAGACAATAACGCTGTATTATTGGATAACTTGTTGCATACTATAAGTTAGCTGGAAGACAATAACGCTGTATTATTGGATAACTTGTTGCATACTATAAGTTAGCTGGAAGACAATAACGCTGTATTATTGGATAACTTGTTGCATACTATAAGTTAGCTGGAAGACAATAACGCTGTATTATTGGATAACTTGTTGCATACTATAAGTTAGCTGGAAGACAATAACGCTGTATTATTGGATAACTTGTTGCATACTATAAGTTAGCTGGAAGACAATAACGCTGTATTATTGGATAACTTGTTGCATACTATAAGTTAGCTGGAAGACAATAACGCTGTATTATTGGATAACTTGTTGCATACTATAAGTTAGCTGGAAGACAATAACGCTGTATTATTGGATAACTTGTTGCATACTATAAGTTAGCTGGAAGACAATCACACAGTATTATTGGATTTGTACAGTTACACAAAATACATCATTATGAACTGTACGTAAGTTGTAACACAATATTTTCAATCTTGATCATATTCAAACTAAAATATGCATATTTGTCCCGTGTACTTACGAACACTCGGCCCTCTCGAGCGACTCTCAATGTAAACGGTACTCCAACTCCAAGCAATAAGTCTAGTTACAAGTTAAGGATTTTTATCCAATGGTTACAAGGATATATATCGAATATCAAGTGAAGATATATTTGATATGTGGATCAAGATATCATATTTTAGCAAAAAAATCCCCAAACCATCGAATATCACTTCTCAAACCATCGAATATCACTTCTCAAAAAGTGATATTCGATGGTTTCAAAAGTGATATTCGATGGTTTTTTGGCAAATTTTTTTCTAAAAATGTTTTTTCAAGATTTTCTTAAAATTTTTTTTAGATTTTTTCCTTCAAAATTTTTGAAACCTTCAAAATCTTTTTTCAAAAATGTTTTCCTTAAAAAAAAATTTTCAAAAACTTTTTTCGAAATTTAAAAAAAAAGTTTACCATTTTTTTCGCTGGGTTAAGATTTCCCATGGGATAAACGGACAATCCTATGGTTTTTCAGAAATATCAATTATATCCACTCATGGATATCAATATCTTCACTCATTCGCTGCGTTCATTCGTAAAGATATCAATATCCACTCATGGATATAAATGATATTTTTTCAAAACCATAGGATATTCCTATAATGTTATCAAGTTTATCAAATCAATGATTTATGTTATTTGGTTCATCAAAGACTCATTAAGATGCCAATTCACTAATTTCCATTCGTTTTTTGATTCCATTGATTTGTATCTAAAAAATCATCATCAATTAGATTAGCTCGTGATTATTTTAGGTGATGGCCCCATTAATTGTAGAAGGATACTAAAAAGTGTTCCACCAAAACAGGCGGTAAACCCTGTACGTTGCCGGCCCATTCTGGCCATGGACATGTCAGCAATGAAGTCTGCAAATAAATGTTATTATCAACTTAGATATCTAGTAATGTTTGATGAATACGAAAATAACGAAGTCAGACACAATAAACTTATATTTATAAACGTTAATTATACTTATGCACTTCAGTTCATCAAATCTTCATTATCTACTATTTCGACTGTTTGTATTACCCATTACATTATCAATAGATATTCAAAATAATTTCGATGATACTGATAGTGTAAAAATTCGTTTTGTGGCACTAACCTGCTACACTGTTACCCCATGCCAGCAGTGTTAGACCCAAGATGGCGTCACTTATGTTCAATACTACGCCAAACATCTGTAATATGTAACTTCGTTATTCTTACGTCATGTGATATCTTAATACAAAATATAAATATGCTAAAGTGGTATGTACGATATGCTGGGTTACGAATTCTTAGTAAAATTGTGGTTTACGATATTTTAATCTCATGAAGAGGGATTTTGTAACAAAGTAATTACCTGCTACTTATAACTTAATTGAGATAATGTGATCAGAAAAAATTTAAATATTCAAAAATTACCGATTAGACCGTTTACTTCAATGCTTAATACTCATAATAGCTGAGCAAACGAGAGCTTCAAAGGCACTAATGAAAAACAAATCATACAATATTAGACGTCCAAATATACCATTTGAAAGGTGGGAGTGTCAGGGTGAAATACGTGGCCTCCTTGCCGACGTTCGCTCGTTGCAAAGTTAATTTAGTGAGTTTCAGTTTATTTAAAAACATAATTTTTGAATAATGATAAAAAGGAACGATTTCAAACGTTATTAAAATGTATTCCAGTATGATGAGCTTGAATGAATAAATGGTTAGTATCAAACTATGAAAGAAATATACATTTGAAATTGTCGCCTAAAATATATGAAAATCAAAGTTCTAAATTTCTATGGTAATTTGTGTAACACCCCAGTCACATTTCCCACGGCCGCCGTGCGGTCTATCATTTTTTATCAAAGAACTGGATACGCCGTACGTACGTACGTAGTTTTCCTACGCTCTCCTACGCTCGCCGCAGAAATACACTGATTTAATGCGGTCGACGTACGCCCTCCGTACGACAAATGTGACTGGGGTGTTAATCATAAACTCTATAGCCATTGATATATTTAAAATATTTTTAGGAGCACGGCCTGGGCCTCTGTTGGGAAGATAAGTTTATGTAAAAAAGTACTGTATTTATTATTCCGGTATTTATTCGCGGAACAACATTCACAAACAATTTTAAAATTGTTGATTGAATTTGTTCCATAGCGCTTATTTTAAAACTTACTTACCTGAGATGATGTAATTTACCAAATGTGATAAGAGATACCTTGTAGAAAAATGAGCGTGGTACTTAGAGCAAAAGATCATATTTTCAGGGATTTTTTTTCTTTATTTCAAATCGTATTTTTATTTGATATCCCACTCACTATTTTATGTACGCTACATTTCCAAGCTAGGAAGTATGCTGAAGCGTGATACTTGAATGATGAGTGCCAAAAATGTATGCGGAACTGAAGGTCAAATGTTAAATTTTCACTTTTCGTTATTATCTGGTAATACTTTATTTTTAATTAAACTTGGTCAATTTAATAGTTCACATACTGGCATAGTTCTTTACATGTCTAGTATGCACACTTTAAGAGATTATCTATAAAGGTCATCAGGAGTCAAAAGTCATCTTGAAAAAATCGTCGAGCCTTTAACGGTAAAATCCATTTGATGCAAAGTAACTCACTTAGCAAAACTTAGAAATGCATGTCAAACTGAGTCTGTCAAATTGCCCTTTGTTCATTTAATCCGATTTAATCATCTTAGTAACTGGTAGGCTATCGTAATGTTATTCTATCCTATTCCCGACACGTCCCCCTTTACAATGTTATATGCAAACACTTAAACAAATAACACCTTCTTTTGACCCTCTTTCACTAAAAATTTAATTATGATATATTTTACCTTTAATACATTTACAATCTCATTGGCCATCACATAGATCCAAACAATGGCAACAACAAATCCAAGGAAAGCAAATGCCTACAAACAAACATGAATATTGATTTAATTTCCTACATTCCAAAATTACTTATATGGACACTAATTTATTTTTGAAATACACACAAATAAATAACTTGCAATAGCCTTTTACGTCATTAGCTATAATAAAAAAATATACTAAACGTTTTTTTTGTGTTCGCTGCAATCCTTGCTGAATAAAGACACAGAATTTAATTCTAATGATACTTATCATTAAAAAATATGATTACCCAGTGGTATTTTGGTGGTTTTTCATTTCTTGATGTGAAAAAGACGAGAGCAGCAAGAGCGATCCCAATGAGAAGGGTAAGAACAAGAAGTGGGAACACACCACCAAGCATTGTACCATACACTAGATATATATAATACAAATAATACATATATGAATTTTATAATACTTCGTTACAGCGTTTAAAAATGTTTACACGACATTTTAATAAACATGATATAAAGAATCCATAAAATGACATGACCACTCTAACATGACTTAGAATAGTCTGCAGTTATCGACATACAATATGGCAGCTTAATATAGTTTAGTTTATCTATTTATTCATTTATTTATAGTGATCAGTTTATATATTATAATCAGAGGATTTTACATAGGATTGTAGAGTTAACAAGTATGAAAAAGAGATTAGACTCTTACATTTAAATCCTAATATAGGAAGAGAAGGTGCCAATACACAATTGAGACAGCTCACATGTCTATTCCAGTTGTTGTTTTTCTCAGCGTAACTCACACAAGGAATAGTTGCATTCAATAAAAGTTGGATAGGTGACTGAAGACAAATAACGAATAAAAATGGAATAATTTATTATTATGTTCTGATGTATATTCAATTTATTTTGTTGCAAATTATTAGTTTAAAATACAAATACAAGTAGTAGCTGTACTTTAATACAATTTTAAGGGACATGCACATGCAAATGACTTGATTTTGAGTTTCTGATAATATTGCTTCAAATGCTGTAGTCTACCTTTTAAAGGCCATACCTTAAACACTTCATATGCTTTAATAAACCATCTCATTTCAGACCATGCGTCTATTCTTATGGGTGATAAAGCATACAAGAACTCTTTAATTGGGTTTTCTACAACAAGTTTGGCCTCTTCTTCTTTAATTCGTCTCTTTTCCAGATCCTCTGCAATGAATAGGCATCCACTGAGCCATATATATGTAATATAGTACAAAGGAGTGGTATCGATATGGTGAACATTTTGAACACGCGTTCCTCTTAAACCAATCATCAAAACATTCTGAAAATTTTACATATCGTCAATTTAATTGTCATCTTTTGGATGGTAACATTGTAATTTGAAATTTATATTATATACTTTTCTCTATATTGTTTTAGAAAACACATCAGCCACTTCTTTCGTTCTTGGTATAATATGTTCGGAATGAAACATCTATCCGAACCTCAGAGGAACAAAACGACATAAACTCAATATTGTAATTGTACAAAGGAAAGTTTGGTTGATTTAAAAAAAAGTATCTTGCTAATGAAATAAAATGTTTATCTTAATTGTTATCTATTTTGGGAGTTTTTGCATACTTTTTGTGAAATCAACCAAAGTTTCCTTTGTATAACTATTATATTGAGAGGTAAAAATGTTGTATATGCTATTTTGTTCCAACAGGGTTCGGAAAGACATTTTATTTCATTCTCAAGAATTGGTAGAAAGGAACAAAAGACAATTGCACTAAAAAACAAAAAATGTTAACAAAAACAGTTATATAAAATATATTTATTTATTCTTCAAGTACATTCACACCCCTTGGGGTCAAGTACATGTAAAAACTTTATATAAAATATATCTAAATAATTTTTGCATTAAATTGTTGCCAATCAGTACAACATTACATAAAGGACCGTGTTTTTTACAGAATGTTTTCAATAATTGGTTTAGAGAAAAAACATTGTTGAATTCAGTTCACCATATCGATACCTATCCTTTCTGAAGATGTATGATTTTTGACAACTGTTTGATTTATGCTAATATTTGTTTTATTAATTTACCAACTTACCAATAACAGAAATTTCAGTAGCTAAACTGTATCTCCTTTTGTAAGTACCTTCCTGCATACCTTCAGTATTCATAGCATCCAGGTTGAAAGAAACTAAAAATAAAATTGTATTAAAACTGAGAGACAGGTAATAGGAATCATGAAAGCAGAAATATTTTTTGGTTAATATGCTTTATAAATATAATATTTATTGGAGTATGTATAAACTATATCACTTTTTCTGGAAGTGTTTTCCCTGTGCATGGTTCCGAATTGGGCACCAAAGCAGGTAGTAGCCTTTCCTAAGTCGTTGTCGATCTTTTGAAAGTTTAGGTATATTAATTGAAAATCGAGATAAATGAAAGATAATACTGACTTGGGCAAGACAAGGCCGCTAGGTACAGATTACTATTATATATATATATACAATAATTTACATGCATACAGCAAAAACACTTTATTTTATATGCACGATAAAAAAGAAAAGCCCTCTTACCTTGGCTTGTTTGTCTTACGATTTTTCGAACTGATTCGTTATTTTTCAAATCTTCATTGGGATCTTTACTCACTGCTTCGACTATTTTTTCATCTTTTTCACTAGTACCATCATCCGTTTCTTTCTGTAGTTTGCCATTTTCTGTTCATAAAGGTACGATAAGAAGAATTGTAATCTTTTAATCTTTTTATTTCTCATTTTCAATTTCATTTTCCGTTTGATTATGAAAAATTATATTTGAAGTTTTGAACATGGATATTTCATTGAACTTTGTATGAAAAGCAAACCTGTTTTGTCTCCAACTGTAAAGATTCCCTTTTCCAAGTTTGATGTCTCATATTGTACATCAGTTTTTTCTGAATTAGCATTGACATCTATCTGCATATATTCAGCTGCAAATATATTGAAGTTCACAGAACAAATAAAACTTGCACATAACTTCAAAAGTTCTAACATTTTATTGTTTTTTGAAATAAACTAATTGACCTTTGTTTTACTAGTCTTTGCTACTGTGCCATCTTGTTGTTACTTTCGTTAGGTTCAATTTAGTTTCACTAATATCATGATTTTTACCCTTTTCTTCCTTGGATTCAATCTTAGCATCATCAGGCTTAAATGCTGGGTTCGTATTTCCATCAATGCTGGATGGATCTAAATCTAGGGGTGTAAGAACAAGCCTCAGTGATCCAACACCATATGCATTAACAACTTCTCCCTCAACTTTTGAAATTGTCGACTTTGATTCGACCTCTGGTACGTTCACAACTGCTGCATCGTCTATCTTTTCCAGTTGAATTGATGGCCGATGCCCTTTCATCTCAACACCTGAGTGGTAATTAAAAGAAAAATACATTTGGTCACATGGAAGCGACTCAAACACCCAAAACAATGATATAATGGATTCAGAAATATTTTAGTCTACGAAAAAGAGATAATTGAAATCGGCAATATCTCCCAAAAAGACAAGTGAGGTCAATGAAATAGTATTATATGTTGGAAAATGAATTAAGAAATTAAAAAAAAACACGATTAACTATGAGCAATTTTCATCTTAAAATCTGGTAATTACCATGTGTGATGTGTGTGTAGTGATACCAGAGAGTCAGAAGTTTTGAAATGTATTGACTTTGTTTTTATTATGAAAAATGGTCAAGTAAAGACCTTCATAAAAGTAATTAAAATCAAGGCCATTATATTACCAGACATCATAGAGCGTCTTCTACTATCCTGCTGTTCATCATATGTCTTCTGTGACAAAACAACAACTATGACGTAAAGTACATACATCACCATGAACCCTAAAATAAAAAAAAAAGAAATTAGATTTGACAATAAGTGTAATTGTATTTTCACAAGCATTGAAATTATTTATGAAAGGTTTCAAATCTGTTTATACCTATTGCTTCCCAAAGGAAAATCTCTCCTCTATAGAAAATGTAAAACGTCCAATAGAGGGCAGCAAGGTAGAAGATAATATCTCTCAACAAAGGACGCTGCATAGCTGTGAAGGGTGCTACAAGTGCGATCGATCCTGCAACTATTGTGGTGACAAACACCCCAGCGCCTATAATAAGAATAATGTATATGTTGTATATAATGAGATGAGGGTACGTTGTGACAACTACTCAAAAAGCAACATTTGGCGCATTGAGTTAAATATCTGATATATATATATTTCTTTATTGCGACCAATTCTGATCATATACATATAGTTTCATAGAAGGGTTAACATGTTATATGGAAAAAACATAGATCAGAACTGTACCTTACCAAATAATCCACCGACAGCTAAACCAGCATCTCCTCCTGATGTTGCCTGAAAGGCGGCGAATGCCGAGAAAATATCAGCAGCGCCATTTCCAAATGCAAGAAATGTAACACCCTATTCCTGATTAAGGAATAATAAACAGCTTAGTGGCCATTTTGGGTTACTGGATACTGCCGTTGACGTGAGTTGTGTGTACCTCAACGAACAACCACTTGACTATTGATTCTACTATTACCACTAAACATTGGAATCTTATTTTTATTTATTATTATTTATGATGAAATATTTTGATTAGAAACTATAAATTAAGTCACACCTTATGATGAAAAAATAATTTATCATTCGAATGTCCCTGATTAAGTACTGCCAACATAAATAATTCACTGCTGTAATAACACTGCTGATAGCGTTTCAGAAACCACTTTTGACAATGTTTGATATATTGTTTATCATACAAGTGAGTGCAAATAAATAAACAAGATTAACCACCTTGCACTAGTTCTACAAAAGGATACGGCTACATTGGGGCTCAATCCAAGGGTATCTGATATAACAGCGAGATCGGGACAAAAACTGAAATATAAAATAAACATACATTAATTGTAAAATAAATTCACACGTGCATTGTCAGAATGTACATGTATAATAATGTGTATGTATAAAGTCGGTAGGCCTGCTACAGAAAAAAAGTTTTCCAATCCAAACTTAAAATCACATGTTCCCTGCCTGAGATTTCAGAATCTGTTTATTATTGGACGAGCTATCTAGGGTCTACTATGACGTATGTTGTGCCTTAATTAGTAATACTCAATTAAATGTATCCTATGAGACCACTTCTAATAATTTACTTCGAATTGATAAATAGCTACGTACTTATAAGAATTCTTTCTTCACCTCTTACGTTATTATCAAAACACTTACCCTTGTAAGAATTGGTCAAGTATCTATATCCATTTAACTTGAAAGTGCAAACTTAAAGAATATATTTTGATTTGAAAGTAGAGGAATTAAGTAAGTAATTGATATTTTATTAACATTATTTTATCTTGTAATTATCTATTTTAATTTAATAAGATGTAAAACAACATTTGGACATATTCAAACTTTTCAACTTGCAATTATCTTCTTCTTATTGAGGAGAATACACCACATGGACATACATTTGGACATACATTCCTCTTGAAATTATCCAATTTATTTTAATGAGATTGTAGTTATACAAAATCTGGAGATACTTCAAATGTTTCAAATTGTAATGGGATTTTTTATTTGAGGAGAATACACCATTTGGATATAGTTTCATATCAAAGTGATCAATTTTATCTTAATGAGACTGTAGTAATACAAAATCTGGACATACTTCAAATGTTTCAAGTTGTAATGGGATTTTTTATTTGAGGAGAATACACCATTTGGATATAGTTTCATATCAAAGTGATCAATTTTATCTTAATGAGACTGTAGTAATACAAAATCTGGACATACTTCAAATGTTTCAAATGTAGTGGGTTTTTGGATTTGAGGAGAATACACCATTAACATAGTTTCATCTTGGAATGATCTACTAGTATTCGACATAGTATAAAAGTACATTGCACAAAATGCTAGTCTGGGAATGGTTCAGATTACACTGGACGAACTCACAGGCGGCGAATATGGCTTCTTGTTTCCTAGTCACGTGTAAGACATAGACCAATCAGAGAGTGAGGAATATGACAGGGAATAATTATTTGACATACTCCACACTTCATACGTTTCATAATATACATATTCTGAACATGTTTTGTACTCACAAGTCATCAGCAGTTATGGCAAGTCCTATGAATATAAACATCCACCAGATGAACTGGAAACAAAGAGGCAAAGAATTGAACTAGGTCTTATGTTGAGGCATATGTAGAAACGCACTCCGGTTAGATGGCACTGGTCGTTTGTTCGATAACAACCGGAGACCATAACAAAAAGGATTTTAGATATCTGTATTTGGAACGTGGGCCATATATTTTCATTCATTCAAGCGAAATTAGAGGTTTGGTTTTTAGATAGACAGATGGACGTCTTGCTTAGCAATAGGTATAAGTAGATGAACTTACCAATATAACCATTCCCAATGGGATAAGGTTGTTGGGAAATTTGCAATAGATAACATCAATGTAGTTTATGAAACCTTCCACCATCTTACAGGCTGGAGCGTTGCTGACGAACTCGCATGACTGACTGATGTCATAATTGTGAACGTCCCTGCACTGAAAAACATCAGGAGCTACATGTAATGATGTATAAAGACACGGTTTAACCGTCATGCATGGCATTGGCTATAACACAAAAAGTATTGTAAAATACGTTACTGGTTGTTTTTGTCCGTTTAAACTTGTTAAAAACTTTCTGATACATTTTAGGAGAGGCAACGATAACAACATCCATCGATTCCTTAGAGAGATTGCCTTGTTCCTGAGAAAATCGTGGACATGTTTGTTACTGATAATCGATCATCCAAATAGACACTGACTTAAATGTCTTTCCCAGTTATTGTTTGAACCTAAAACAAACGTACTGAAATACTGGCAAACTCTGGCGAAAGGTACATTGCCATTTTCGAAATTTGTTATTGAAAATAAAAGCTCGTTTGACATACTCTTGTAGCATGTGAGGTCATATGACCTAAAACATATTTTACACAAAGCATCGTTTTAAACTCTTGAACATGTTTAAGTCTTAATCTTAGCATTAGATAAAAACATCAGAATGAAATATATGATATTAGATACGAGCAAAACCGATCAGTATTATACATGTATTACTCAATGGAATTAGTCAGATGGGCATAGAAGATGAAATAGTGGACAGCGTCCTCTAAATCACGTCTTTACCCGAGATAATACTAGTACGGTGTGTCAATAGTGTAAGGTAATAATACCACAACTTGATCATGCAACCGTTTAAGCTTATCAAGTCCTTAGAGAATGTTATTATTATCAATAGTCCTGTTATTTAAAGAATTTGTGGAGGGCATCGAGGACTTTGGAATTCTAAAGTAAATTTGTATAGGGGAAAGCAATGATCAAGTGGTAGAGTCATAAGAAAGTTACATTCAAGTGCACAATGGCGCTAAACAAGGTTGCCTACATTCCCTATTCAGATAAAATGGGCAAAGCCAGTTGCGGCAAAGATTTACAGAAACATATTTTTCAAATATTTTTTCTCTTAAGACTGCCAGAAATTTGAATATCGATGTCAAACCATTGATAATGGTAATAGGAGAACGCCCAATACTTTGCCTTTTGTTTAAGTTTATTTCATTCGCAAAACATTTTGAACCAGCTTATATGGTAAAATAATTTGTTGTACAATATGAGATTAAACATTGAAGTTTGCTCAAAACTAGTTCCAAGATTTTTAAACCCGACCATGATTTAATAGCATTACAAGTTGTAATACCTTGAATGATCATGGCTTGCTTCAATTACTACATCGCACTTAGCATAACCATGGAGAGGGAATTGTGCTTAACCTGTTATAAAACGTAATAATAGGGATATGAGCCCTTACTAAACGACAGAGCAGTGAACACTACCCTTTGATTCACCCAGACAATAGTAAAATATGAATTTGATTTTTACTAATATGTACCAAGAAGAAAGACTTGGGATACTTTAACAACCATACGTTTAAGCTCTTTTTAATGAAGTCGCCTTAGCCTTTTCCCGACGTGAAGAGGAAAATGTTGGCCTGGTGACGGATAAATAAAGTTTAGGGGAAAACAGCAAATTACCTATACCCCGGGACCTATACTTTAAATTGAAATACAATCTTTAATAAGGATTATCACATTTAAACAACTTGTCAAAATTTGGTGTAAAACTATTGTCCGAGATATTGTCATTTCGATGATGTATATAAATAAAAATAATGGTGCCAAAAGGAGCTGCCTATCGTCCTGAGTGTTATCAGGAATAATCCATATTACTGAAAATTGGGGAAATATGGTTGAGAAACAAAAATCTAAAACCAGCCATAGATTTCCCCTGATGACCATTGTGAAACATTGTGTTTTATGGATTATGGTGTCTTTGCGGATGGATATTGACCCTTTGATACGCATATGGATTTCGAAAATGAATTTTGTCTGTCCTACATCATTTAAGACTGAACGCTTTATCTTGAATGTATACTATATTAACTACTATTATTTTTGAAGTTATGATTATTCAAAACTTTCAATTTTAGAGTAATTCTTCAACAAGTATCATGATGACTTCGGTATTAATGAAATGTTTCTTGGTGTTACGGTCTCGGATTGTGATATCGTAGTTGAATGGTGGGGGAGGGGTATAATACATTGCTTCTTTTCCCTTTGGATACTGACTTGGGATAGTTTGGGTTTGTTTTCCTTATAAGTGGTGTGCTCTTAGTGTTTTATTTTTCTTGAGTTATGTAATCATTTTTGTATTTCCCCGTTGACACTTGCGCATACATATTTCAACAATTATGTTTCACGATATGATTTGCTGAGATAGATCTAGAGTAACTTGCGAAATTTAAAGATCGCCCCTTATATCTTAATTGTGTAACAAGACAAAAAATGGAACGTTATGATTGCATCTGTATAAATGCCTACATATAGCTTAAAAAATTACTTGGATGCTAAACTATTTGGAGTCCATGCGGTTACAAATAAGTAACGTAAATCAAAATTGATAGCCATTTACAATAATGGCGGCATGGCGCTTAATAACATTTTAAGTAGTAACAATATATACTGTACACTAATAAGCTAAAATAGGCTGACTAAAACAGGCTCGTCTGAGTTATGGGAGGGAGGGGGGGGGGGGTAATTTTTTCTCGACAATTAGACATCGCTAAAAAACTGCTAGAAAAGAACTCGAAAAAGAAATAACACATTTTTGGATTTGCTTACAAGAAATCACTTTTTTGTATTTACCTCTGATCTTTTAGCTTGTAAAAGACTTCGTGAGTTCCATGCAAACGCCTCGCTGTGCGTTCCTTCCGAGTGGTGGAACTGCGACTGTAGCCCGTCATTGTACGGGGCGATGCTTTTGATTATTCCTACGCAGCAAAGAAACGCTACAAAAATCCCTGTAGAATAAACTACTTTAATAATCTGCTTATCATAATCTCTTCTTCCCATCGCACGAACCAATTGTTTTACTTCCTAAAGCAACGCCAATTATATCTTAAGACGATTCAAACTCAACTCGAGTCCTGAACGGTCAAAGACTCAAACTAAAGTCAATCAAATCCAAATAGAATAAAGTACCTTATGGCAACTAATTGAGATATCATCAAAAGTTGATGCACCTTTTACATAAAAATAAATATTAACATAATTAATTTTAATATTTCGAACGTTCTGTATGATAGCTTCGATCAAAAATTGCTCTATTAATATACCGTGGACAGCTCAAGACTAGAATAAGCTTATCATTGAGCCTAATGGAGTTTTGATGCCCATTTATTATTCGACTCTCATTTTCTTAAAGGCCCAAGAGATAACTTTGATAAGTATGTTTATTTAAAAGTCACATAATCTTGAAACTGATTTTGAAAATTCGAACCCAGGGCTAAGTGCTATGATTTTGTTAAGTATGAAAACTGTTTGAAGATTTCTTTTTCGTTAAACGATTGTTTCACTGTTGTTTGTCTATTTGTTTGTTTGCTTGTTTGGTAAGGCCATTCGAAAAATAGTGCACTCATATTTATAAATTCATACACTAATAAAATAATATTTTGATACGGCAGGTTAATTTATAATTATTAAAGGCCCTATGTAATATTTGAACTAAATGGAGTTACACGTCGCACGAAACTGGGGACAATAAGCGTAACATTATGGCGTCAAAATACCAAAACAAACCAAAAAGAAAATACTTTATCCTTATTTAATCATGATAAAATTCACAAGGTAGCAAGATCTCGAGAACAATATTTCTACAATGTTTTTGAATTTTGAAAAACGGTCAGGAAATCCAATTTGGAATTTGTTGTAAAATTGATGCGTCACATTTTTTCAATTCTCGAAAATCAGCTCTTATTTTAATATCATTTGCGAAATAAACAAATCGGTTATTGTTTCGTAAATTTCGCCGTGACAATATAGTGCAGTTAATTTTTTTCAAATCAGACCAAAATTAGAAGGTAAAATCAAGGTAAACTTATTGCTTGTTCGTCTTCAAAACCTTACACAATTTTGAAGCGTTCATATTTAGACAATTTGAACTGGAGTCGCTATGTGACCTCATAAATGCACATGTTCCATTGAATAAAATGTGAAATTTTAGTGGAATTCTGATCATTATTTCAAAAGTTATCCCAATTTCAACGAACCATTTAAGCGTAACGTGTTACGTTTTACAGCGTATTTGTCGGGGTATATCCAACTTTAAAAATATGGTAGATCCCATCAAATTTTTAAGGAAAAATAATTTCACTGAAATGCGAATAAAAAATACTTCAAAATGATATACAGGGTGTTCAGGAAATAAAGATAATAATGTCATAACTTTTTTATTTGTTCGTGGATTGCATTTAAAGTTTCAGAGATTATAGTTTTAACATATTTTAACTTAATGTTGGAGTTTCAGCTTCAGGCGATTTGATTGGTTGATTCTGTGGTTGTCATAGCAACGCGAGTAGCGCTAAGGCGGGGAAGGTGGAATAACTGCAGTATATTTGCATGTTTTAAATGTTTTAAAAAGAGAATCTAACAAGACTATGACTTAAAATGGATGCTTAAACATAGTTCTCAAATTCTCAAAAGCGTGTTCTCTTAAGTCCCATTTTGATTCAGCAAAGAAATATAAATCATTTGGCGCTAGGTTGGGTGGATAAGGTGAATGCTTGAGTTGCTCTAATCTCGGCTGCTCAATTTTTTTGTTGTGAATATTGCAGCAGTATGGGAGGGGGAATTGTCCAAGTGGAAGAGAAATTGCATCCCGGGTCGCTTTCTATGTAATGCCTGCATTAAGTAGAACAAAACAATAGAAGAGTTTTATCATAGAGATGCACCAAGAAAGCTTTAAATATGGAGTCAACATCGCTTTGCCATGCTAAATGTTACACAGAAACCACTGCAGTTATTCTACGTGCCCCGCCTTAACGCTACTCGCGTTGCTATGCTAACCATAGAATTGACCAATCAAATCACTTGAAGCTGAAATTCCAAAAGTATGTTTAAATATGTTGAAAGTATAATCCCTGCAAATTTTATTGAAATCCATGAATAAATAAAAAAGTTATGACATTATTCTCTTTATTTCCTGAACACCCTGTATATAACGCATAGTTAGCTTTTCAAATAAGGCAGAGATTAACGCTTAAAGCTGAGATTACCCCGCATTTCCCGAATTGTCCTCAGGTCCATGCACGTCATAAGTAGCGTTTTTATTGATTGAAACAACTAGATTTTGTTATTTGTACTGAGTTTAAAATGCTGAAGTAGATTTACTCCACACGAGAAAAAATACAATGAATATCATGCTTTATTAGAAATAGATCTCAGAATGCACTTTCGAGTACAAAATGTATGACTGTAAAGAATAAATAATATAATATGCGATCTATCTTAGAGTTTTAATTGTAACAACCAAAGTGGTTTTTAGAGCACATGGAATCTTTGGAGAATTTCGACCGTAACATGGAACTCAATCACCTGTTTGTGATTTATTGCCTTAGGTTGTTGTTGGCTATTAAAAGAACTTTAGTAGAGTTTTGAAGCTAGCATACAAAAGGGCATTTTAATCATATAAGAGTCAAGAATTACACGCATGGGGCCTTTAAAGGCTTCCGAAAGTTGGGCATGTTGCAGATAGTGTAATAATTGTCTTATGATAATACCAAACTCAAACATTACAACAAGATACTGAATAATAGATCTCAGAGGTCATCCTCCCTCTGCAAATTATTCAACTCCTTTGTTCGTGAACCTTAGGTAGGGTAGGTCTTATTGACAAGTACGCATCACTTATTGACAATAGATAGCGTTTATATCTCAAAATGTATCACTGTAAATAAAAGTAGCTATCCAAATCTAAAACGAGGCGTTCCGAGTGCAATATGACCAGTAACATTTAATTTTATTATCGTCATGTTTATATAAGATATTATCATGCATTAACATATTTGCTCTACTATGTTTCATATCATTTCAATATGTACATGTACTGGCATCTACTACTTCCACCAATGGACTCGAAGGGGGGGGGGAGTTCCTATTTATCTATTTTTTACATTCTGGCCTTTTTTCAAAATACTGTAGGCCTCATTTTTTGACAATGTTTTTTTCTAAAAAGATTAGACATTTCACAAAGCAAGACCAAATGTTTCAAAAGAGGCCAAGGCTCACACACAAGCGCAGTACAAAAGACTTTTAGGAAAATAATTTTGCGCCTCAAGCTTTGTCAATTTTGCCAAGATGTCCACGCATAACTACAGTGATGAGTAAATCATGAACTGCATGTGGTATTAACCTTGAATTGGTCACGTTGACAATTACCCTAATATATGATGTGATTAAGTATACACGATAAAATAATATGTTACACATTTGAGCAAATATTGTATTTGATTTATAGATGCAGGGGCCTTGAGATATGATTTTCGTTCAGTGCATTCTGTGATCTTTTAATTTTAGATTTTTTATCATATTGATGCAAATCCTAGGAAATGGGTATGCTAATAGCATTTAATAAGTCCATGTGATTTCTGTTTTTCATGATATCAATAGGCATTCATAGACGATGATATGATTTTAAAATGAATGATATTTCGTCGCGTGAGAATAACTTTGTACTAACTGCCATTTTCAAAAAAATTGAGATAGACATGGAATTTTACTATTTGAAACACAGGCTTTCATCTCAGATACATGCCCCATCTCAATTCCCTCTCATTAAGCTAGAATTCAGTGTTAAATTGTACCATCTCCAGACAAACAGCTTATTTCTAATTTCAAATTGTCATATCTGATATCAACTGTTTCAACCAATCAACGGTCTAAGAATTGGTCATGTGACTTACAAAACTTGGAGTTATAACAATCTTATATTAAAACGAAGTATGCCAATATGCATGTTATTGTATCTAGAATGAAATAATGTTTTGTAACACAATACCATGCCAGTTTGCATGCCTGGCCTTTCATGTTTTATTTTTAGAACTATTACAAGTAGATCAAAAAAATAAAATGATACAGTATGTGTAATCCCATGCATATTCAAATTATATGCCCTCAATTACTCTTTGTATTATGGATGCTCATTGGATTATTCATGGCCACATGATATGAAATAGAATTACTAATTTCCTCGAAAACCTAAATCCTCGCTACCAGGGAAGATGAAAAGTACAAATGACCAGTTAATTAGATCATGTGAGCAGTCAAAAGTACCCTTTATCTTCCCTGCTACCAGGTCTTATAGGGGTTTGAATGGCCAAATGCAATAGAAATGCATATACGAAGCTGTCATCATTAAATGTTGAAAATGAAAGACTACTTATTTGTTTCTTCAAATAGAGTACAAAATAATAGGTTATATACTAGATATAGTAATCAAAACAAATAGTAACTGTCATATTTTGCACTACATTGCTCAAAGGCAGTCACTGTCTGTATACTATTGAAATTTCTTTCAAAATGATGTTTTATAGTTTGTGGAAAAAAGCTAAATCTATTTAAACTAGCTTTAACTTTTACTGACCATTCACTATATCAATAAGGAGTTATCTTTATGAACATCTGGGATCTTTTTAGTTATTTTATTACTAGTATGTTTTTCAGATTTGTCCTTTCTTTTGCATTTTTGGGATCATTGTTTTTAGATCATCTACATTTTATTTTGGAAAAGTAACAAATTGGTTCAATTTCTTTACAAAGAGCCACTCTTAGTCTCCACTTCTACAATTGCTTCAATTCCCAATTGTACTCCACAGAGTAGCAAACAACAGAAAATGAATGGATAATGATAGCTGCATCCCAATGAATAAAATGTGATTACCTAAATCGAGGTTTCATCACTTTCATTAATCTAAAATGAATTAGAATTTATTTTTCTATTTTCAAATTTCTTCCATGTGCATGTAATAAAAATTGGTTATGTCTTAGGCCCTAAGGATCTGAAACCTGCTGGTCAAATTGGAATTACGGACCAGTTGCAATGTTATTCTCCTATACCCAGTGAAAAAATCAACTGGTCTGTATCAAAAATAACCTGATAATGACCAGCGGACCGGCCCTTAGGGGCTACATTGTAATGTGCTGGGAGGTTTAGGCTACAGGGTTTATACCGAGGGAAATATGTGGGGGACCGTATTGGCATCATTGGTTTCAATGCATTGTACTTCTGCCTTAGTTTCAAAAGCAATAAATTCTTTTTGAAGGGTGTCCTGAGATTCCAAAATTAAGAAATAATTGTACTTATTTGAGAAATTGATTTTAAAGTTTTATAAATTGAATTTTCTTTATTTTATTAAATAATATTCTTTGGTTTTTGAAGACTTTTTTACAAAGCAAAACATTATTTTTCATTCTAGATACAATAACATGCATATTGGCATACTTTGTTTTAATATAAGATTGTTATAACTCCAAGTTTTGCAAGTCACATGACCAATTCTTAGAGAGTTGATTGGTTGAAACAGTTGATATCAGATATGACAATTTGAAATTAGAAATAAGCTGTTATTCCGGTGGGAAATTGTATCAACTCCATTTCCATAGTTTTAAAAAAGGATTTTGTAAATTGTTTCAAGGTATGATATTTCATATAAGATATCTCTAGGGTGAGACCAGGTGACATACAAAAAATCAAGTTTCACATAGCAATACTAAGTAAGATACAGACCTCTAAACTTTCAAACCTTGATTTCTCAGTTCCGTAAAAATGTGAGATAGTACAAAGTTATTCTCATGCGACGATTTGCAGTCTTTCAAATCTGAATACGGTGGTTTAAAGGTATCATATTTGTCTGGAATCTTTCCTTGTATTGAAAATTTGTGTGAAATATACTCAATGCTCATGACGTGTATGCTTACCAAACAACAATTAACTTGTGATACAGGCAAATAAAGCATTGAGTAAGTTGCTTAAATCCCCAAGTGCTAACATGATGTACGATTGAATCTGAGACGATGAAAAAAATTTCAAAATAGTTCTAACCCATTTATAGACCTTGTATGGGAATTCATTTTTGTTTAAGGATTTAAGCTCTGGACTCAGTGCAATGTGGAATGACAATTCCTTGAAGATTTTGTTTTCCAAAATTTACACGAGATGCGGAGCAAGCACTGATCGGAAACCATATGGCAAAGCCCCAGCATCGAAATATCAAGCCCAATCATCACCATAACAACCGTTTAACTAGTGACCATGAGTTCGTTATTGGTTACATAACAGAAGGTGAAATAGCGTGTTCTGATTGGATTGGAATTGGATACGCCTTGCCTAGCGGTGTGTGAATATGGCGTTAACAAAGGTCTATATTGGGTACCCTATTGTTTATTTCTGTTATAATCTTGTGTATATGTAACCACATAAAACACACAAAATATACGACATAGACTCGTTGATAAATAATATTTTAATTTATACAATAAAATAATAATTCAACTCATTAAAGAAGTTTAGTAACAGAATGTATAATCCTACACTCTGCTTCTCTTACATACTCTGTACGCAATTGCTAGGATCCACACCAGGACAATAAATAAGCATTATAAATCAAATATGATAAAATACTAACTGTCTACAAGCCATATATAATATACACACTCACATTCAATTTCATTTCATCAAAGCCACCACATAAATTAGCAAGTCCAACTTTCAGGGCATAAGATCATGTCAATGTGTAACATATTTACAATTCTAAAAACTACCATTCGTTATTTTAACAGTTAATTATCACATGCATGTTAAATTATTACATGACACCGCCCGTGAAATATTCAACATGAAATGGCTATATTGGTGTATAAAAGTTGTATGGGTATCAAAAGGGTCATGAATGATCTACAGATCTACCAAATCATTGCAGGCCCATATTTGATAATCCAAGTTCATCAAGTAAATCGCTATCGATTAACCAGTCTAATTCTGGGTCAGAGTTTGGCATAATGAGACACACAAACCGTTTGCCAGTTCGTTTGTCAACTGGATACAGATCTATAGGTGTAAACGGTTCATTTGTGTCAACGTAGGCACACAATCTGCTGTAAATATCCGGGTATTGATGTCGTAAACTTACTCCCCTCTGACGTAACTTCCGTTGGATATGGATGAAACAAATCTCCCGCGCTTTTCTCAAGTCCATGTTTTCGGTTATCTCAGCACCGGGTACAGCTGTAAGAATGAGGGTTTCTCTGTCTGGCTTAGGTCGAGGTCTTATTTGAGCTGAGCTTAAGTTGACTTTTGCTGACTTCTGGACCATTCCCAAACCTCCAGAAGACAAAGACATAGAGTCATTGGACAGTGATGAAGTGTGCGTTGAACCTGCGTCTGAAACGCATGGTTGAATGCCGACATTAATAACAAACTTGAATTCAGGATTGTATGCTTTACATTGTTGCGTGAGAGTCTCAATGTGCTTGGCATGTGTGGTCTCGCTGGTCACCATCGAACTCTCTTCGAGATCTCGCAGGGAGACATATGTGGCAATAGCCAACGAAGCACCGTGTGCATTGTTGTTTATAATTTGTTCTGTTGACTCGATATCATCAAAAATAATTTGGACATAACCCCTGCCTTTCGATAGAAATCCAGTCCTGGCAATCCGAGAAAATTGCTCTGCATTCTTTCTTATGGATGTGATAATATGTTTGCAAGCACTTCCAAGTTTACTCTGGAGACATTTTTTCTTGTGTCTTGGCCAATGTTTTTTTCTGCATTCCCGACTGCAGTAGTATGTATAACACTGATGGCAAGACTTATAACTGGCTCTAGCCTCTACAAGTTTCGCTGTCTTTCCACATTTGGTGTTTCTACACTTGATTTCAACATTTTCATCTTCAAATAATTTCGCAATTTCATCATCAGACGATGAAACATCCGCAGTAGAATTCAAGAAATTAAAATCATATAAGTCATTAATCTGTGCTTCTGCTCCCTCCCCTTTTTCATTTGGGTCATCAAATGAAAAACTTACATTTCCATCTCCAGGTGGAGTCTCAGTCTTAGGCGAAGAAAGGTCAAGAAGTCCGTCCAAAATGGCCTCCAGGGAAGAATCAGTTTCCTGTGGAGGCTTTTTGACAAATACTTTATCCAATGTTGTTTCAGTAAGTTCCACGTGGAGATCAGGCTTATTAGGACGAGAGGTCTTATTTTGTGGAGGAGAGTCGTCGAGTGTAAGAACAGGAAAAACATCTCGACCAGTTTGCTTTGGTGTGGTTTTGTGATCTGACTGGATGGAGGATTTAGATGGATCTAAGTCAGATGTCGCATCAGACGAACTATTCATCTTTTTAGTTTTTCTTTCTTGGCGATCATGATTTAGGGTGCTTGAAATCGTATGATTTTTGTCATTTATAAGAATTTGTGGGACGGCATTGAAATGCTCCTTTCTTGGACTTTGTTCTTGAGGAGACTGCTGTACCTTTCTCACAGACAGTCTGGGAGATGGAGGTGTATTGTTTAAACTCCTATTTCCATTCAAATTCAACTGGACCGATGACTTCTGGACTGTATTCTCGTTTGATCCAGTAGATTGCCTACTATTCTTTACATGTATTATCGGATCGGTTGTACTGTCATTGGGTTGTCGACTTTCGACCCTATTTGGAGAAACAGTTCCGTTTCCTTTTGGTATGATAACTGGGTTATGTACAGTATTGCCATCTTTAAATTCATTTCTGTTCTTTGAATACTTAGGTATGACAGGGATTTCTTCATTGTCTCTAATGACAGGCTTGGGCGCAGTGCTGCCATCTTTCTCATCAACCTCTTTCAATGTATACTGAGAGAGTCCCATGATAGGTCGTGATCTAACCATTCTACCAAATGAACCCGTTTCCTGTGGTTCACTAGGCGGCTCGGATTCGTACGGTTCACTGGTCTTAGCTTGTATATTTGGGGCTTTCGTAACAATGGCTTTAAAAGGCTTCATTTTAATCGGGAGTAGCTCTTTGGGGGTACTTCTCCTCAGTTTTGCACTAGGGAGTTCGAATTTTGAGGGCGTAAGGCTAGCGTACTTTACAGGGGGTCTCATATAGTTCGAGCGACTTACTGAAGAGGCACTACGTTGAATGATTACAGGTCTAGGTCCACTAGGGGTCGGCTCATTGGGTATAGTTGGGGTACTTCTCCCGGAGCTAAGACCAGCGTCCTTCCTGTCAGTACCAAGTATAAATCCAGTAGATGCATAATGTTTCACATTGGAATACCTCAACCAATCAGGTATGTTTAATTTCTCGAGAGATTGGTTGATTCTCTGACTGCTATCTGACGATGGAGATGCCATATTAGGCTGGAATGAATCAACTGCATCATTTGAACGATAAGGCATGCTTAGTACTGAGCTTGGCCTGTTGGGCTTTGTATCTGATCTTGTGCTGCGTAAATTGACCATGCTTGAAGCACGCATAGGTGGCGCTGAAAGTATATCATCCATATCTGTTTTGGTGACCAGTGGAACAGCAGTTGTAACCATCGTGTCAAGATCAGTCTCAAGTAAGGAAGTACACGATCTTCTATCGTAGAAAAATCCCTTAGGAGCTACGCTTGGGGAGGAGGGTGTAATCCCTGCTCGGCTGTGGGTCTTTGCTAAATTGTCAAGTGATATCGCCTTTCCCGGACTATATTCCAGTGACTGAGGTCTTGCGTTTTTGGATGTGTCCACTTTTCTATCTAAAGTCCTTATATTAGTCGTATTATTCACATTGGAATTATGATAGTTTCCAGGCTGATTATGTCCCATGGTTGACTTTCCATCGCTTTCCAAATATAAATGTTTGTCCTCGTATTTATTTTCCTCATTAAGGGATTTGTATTGAGTTTGCATTTTATTACGTGGCTGGACTTCGGTCGTGTTTTGATCAATCGTCTTATCTTTAACATTATTCGATTTGCTTTTGTCTAAGATCATTTCAGAAATATTCGCGTTCAAGTGTGCTGTCTTACACGAATTGTCCTTGGCGAAAATGTTTTCTTTTTCGTCATTCTTCGCGTTACTTTCAGATTCTATATCTGGTTCAATTGTTGGTGATTCAGATAGCGTCCCTTTTTGAGTGTACAGCTCTCGAGTTTTGTGATATTCCTTAGTACTGTGGTTAAGGTGAGACGTATTTGCACTCGTGACATTACATTGTAATCTTATAGCCACTTCTTCAATGCGATTATCAGTTTTATTAGAGTTCTCATTATTTGAACAAGAACTACCACTTGAAATTTCTTTTAACAATACTGTATCGTATCCTGCTTGTTCGCTAGTTGGTGAACATGAATTTATAGGAAAGCTCGATTGTTTCCCCTCGATATAATCATCAGTAATCGACGGTTTCCCGTTTAAGTCACTCTTCAAGGGTTGACTTGACTTCTTATTTGAAATGTTCGCTTGCAGTATTGGTTCGGCATTGTTGTGTATATTTATAAAAGTATTATGGCAGGGAGAATTTGCTTGTTTAACGGTTCCTTTTGTCGGATTGTTTTGATTCTCTTGTTTGTTTGCCACTTCAGTTTCCTCTGAAATAGAACTGTTTATGTTTTCAATAGAACGTGTGACTGGCATTTTACTATCATTGTTCACGACATCTATACTACTATTTATGACAGCGTTTTCGGTTTTGATAGGGGAAGTTTCACGAACTGCATCTAATGACATCTTGGAAATAAAATTGGAATTACTTTCAGAAAGATCATCACTTGGGGCGACACTTTCATTTTGTTGAATATTTTCGGTATCTGCAGCAATGCATTCATTATGAACATCGACATCGTTATTTAATTTGATGCTACACGAAGATGCAATGTCACTTCTGGTAGTTTCTGTCTCATTGCGTGCATCATACGTGTTGGGCGGTTTGAAACTCAACCCCAGGAGATGCCTGTCATCATCCTTTGACGTAATTATCGATCCAGAAACGGCATTATCCACTGCGTCATTTGTTTCAGGTTTCAAATCAACAACATTTTGGTTACCCCTCGTATCATCAACATCGTTTCCAGTTTCTGGCTCATATTCTATAGATGGAGCTTCATGGTTGACTGACGTCACTGTTAATTGCTCACATAAAAGAGTTCGAGTATGAGATTGTTGCACGAATACAAACTTCGTCAATGCTTGGTCTGCTTCTGCGATATTCGAGAGAGGTGCGTCAGCATAAATATCCGAACAATTCTCTCCCTCGTTGCTTAATTCATCCATTTCTTGTACAATTTCAAGGTCGTCGCAGTTTTGATCGGAACGATCCTCAGCGTCAGCTGTATCACATTCACTTACAACGTCGCTTTTTTCATTAGGTTTAATTTCAATAATAGTTTCAGCGTCCGATACATCAGAACTAGATCTAGATTCGTCTCCATCGCTGTCAGACAGAAATGCTATTATGCGATCTGAGGCCTCGGTTCGGAGATCAAGGTGACCTCCTGTCAATATATCTTTGGGACCATTGTTATCGCACGACCCTTGATCTCCACGTCGTATAACTTCCATTTTAGAATTCAATACTTGTTTTTTACAACCGGCCTGACATCTTTTATTGGTCGTGTGTTCTATCGTGTATTGCGGATACAGGACAGTCTGACATTTACGTGATGAAAATGTATCTTGGTGATCATTGCTAAGTGAAACATTATCATTACCCCTGGTGATATATTCATCTGGTAATACGATATTCGTAACGCCATCTACCGATTTGATGGCACTTGTCACATATCCCTGTTCCGATGACGTGACTTTTGTAGAATAATTGTCTCTTGATTTCGTGTCGACTTCTCGCTGTTGTATATTGCTATTGCATTGTTGTATAGGATTAATATTACTCCCTTCACTAATCAATAAACTAACATTGGGTTCACTGCAACAAACATATTTTCCATTAGTGCTCCTTCTATTATAGTTTCCATCAGAAACCCGAGCTACATCTGGACTATTATCGATCGTCTCCACTGTACAAGGTGATACGTCAACACCACACACGACTCCAGCTGGTTCAATGTGACTCTCATTGACTTGATCTGTCCTCACGTGGTGACGTTGTATAATCGTATTATCATACTCGGAATTAACATTATCGCTACACTCCTCTCCACTTAAAGAAATATCATCCTCGCATGTGTTATTATTAACCGATATAGCACAACCCACAGGAACGCCTTGATTTTCTTTGCTAGCAGCTGTTAACTGTTGTTTCTTTCTGGAACCATCCTTCCAAGAATATAATAATCTCCACGATAAAACGACTGTTATTATGGTAGCAACTGTGGCGAGTATATATCTCTCGAATAGATTTTCGCCGGTAAGTCGAGGCATTGCGCTGTAGACCGATATGAAACTATAAACTGTATTGTTGCTAGGCTGGTCGATATTATAAACGCTAGAACTCCCTGTCGTTGTCTATTAGATTCTGCATTAAGTAATACACAGGTGTGTCGGCCTACGTCATAGGACAAATATTAATAAGTAAAACCTTTTTCGCAAAATCAATTATTATTATTAATTAATAAGTATTATGGGGAATGCCTCATGATTATCAAGGGCTTAGGTTTACCTCATATATTAATAATTCAAATTATATTGCCTCTGAAAAATTATTGCAATATGGAAGAAACTGTAAAGGGTTCTTTTGGATTTAATCATTTTAAGGCGATAAATGATTCAGAAAATGACATACGTCAATGGTGTTTTTTTTATATAATATAGAATGAAGATAACTACAATACGGTAAATTAAATTGTATATGAATTACAAACCTGATTACAAACAGTCGTGGTTACAATAATTTTATCAAATATATCAGAGAAGAAATGTGCAGGTGGATTGTTAGTACTTAGATTTTTTTTATTTATTGTCGATCTGAGAACAGACAATTGTAAACAAGATTTTGTAAACAAGGACATTTCATTAAGTCATTGATGATTGCTATATGTTATTTCAATATTTAGGCGATTATATTCATTTGTAGGTGAGTAAGCTTGCCCAAGTCGGTCTCTTTTACTTATCTTGATTTCTAGTAATAATTCAAGATCATTACCGACTTGGGCAAGGCTAGTAGGTGGGTGGTTGAGCAAAATCTACTCACATACTATTCCATAGTATTCATTTCTAAGTGTTCAATGAACTCCTGTGGGTTAATGACTAATATATGTACATACCAACATGTTTCGATCACTGATATAAAGGGACAGTCAATCATTTCCTAACTTAGCCGAAAATGCTGTACATTTACTAATAACACATAATTCACATTACAATAGAAATTAACATTTATTACAATACATTTGGATGGCTTCGATTTGAAAAAATGGATAGGCAATTAAACCGTGTAGTACAAAGTCAGATCATCAACAAGGGATTAACATGCAAAATGTCACCACCTGCTATTTGTTACAGACGCCGACAGCCGACCACCGTCCACAAAATAAGTTTGAGACTATAACAATATGTTACCACTACTGGTGGTGACATAAAAAATTAAAAGAGGTGTCAGATTTACAGAGACAGTACTTTTACTCCTTCTGATACTCATAGCATCTTTCTGTTTCACCTGAAACATCTCATGGCTGAGAAGAAATGAGATGTCATGGTTTATCATGATGACTTTTACTAAGTAATATCTAATGTAATATTTCCCATTGTGGTTAGTTTAAAATAACTAACAAAACACGAATGACGTTAAACTTAAGCAAACAACTCTTTAAATCGACATTTATACAATAAATCCTTAACTGAATGTCGTATCAATTACGATAACACTGAACACAAGTGAACAGGATCTGCAATTGTTATTACAACAATATATTGGGGTTAACGTGACCTTAATAATGGTAAAATTAATAAATTAAACATAGTGTCGTTTACTTTAACTACACATATTGGACATTTTGAATGAAAATAAAATGTCGACGCAAGTCTATATTATTAGAATTAATAAGCGACAATCAGAGAGCGATCAAACAGCAAATTTGGTCTATAATCTTCAATTAATGATTCATTTGAATTACAAGCTTCTTAAGTTAGCAATAAATTATTTAGTACGTATAGACATGGCATAAAATGCAGGTAAAGGAAGAAATAATATAGCACTGGCTTAGTTTTAATATGTGATTAATATCTCCATTCAGTTGATTAATTAAAAGATATTCCCGATAAACCCTTATTGAATTCAGTGAGCGGGTAATATCAGCTTTTTCTCGAGAAACGAATTTCACAAAGATTTATACCCCATTGCATATTTATGGAGCCCTATCGAATATTGCAGTTGCATAATCCCCCACTCCATGTTCGATAAAACAGATTTTTTCCTTCCTCCTATCGGGGTTAGTTTCTCAAAAATAATCCCCGAGAGGGTAAAACTCTAAAAGAACCAACCCAAATCACTTGCCCTCAAACCCGGGCCCTTAAATAATTTTTCACTCATGTGTTTCTACAACTATGCCAAGTTTGTTGCTTTCATGTTTCATGAAAAAGATGAAACTCAGAAGGACATCTGTCTCAGCTATAAGTGTTGCATATTGAAGTTTGTACCCTTTGCATTCGTTCCACTTCGATTCGTAAAAGAGAAATAATAGGTAGTTCATAACTAGGCCAACTAGACTCCGCGCAGGGTATGACATTTGGTTCAAGTTGGAATATTCGATAATATCAATTGATCTGCTTCTTATATGTATTTAGTAGACATTTGATCAATCAAACTATGCCACAGATTGGATGTGTAGTCATTGTATCGTTAATTCATTAGATTGCTGAATCATAGTACAAAACATGGATCAATATATGTATACATACAGGCCCGTAGACAGGATTTGCCAAGGGGGGTTCGCCTTTTGGAAAATTCCAGGAGGGGGTTCACTTTTGACAATTTGGGTGCAAAAATGGCCAAAGTCACTTAAAAAGTGCTCAGAATGGTGAAAAACTGCATGATTTTGAAAGAATTTTCGGCCAGCGCGGGGGGGGGGGAGTTCACGACAGACACTGTAGCCTGGATGACTATAAGTACCCCCCCCCCCTAATTAGATTAACCCATATACTTTAAACAACACTTAATTTGTTTCAATGCTTGTTTGGTATTGAAATATCAGCAGGCTAAGTGAGACTTGTTATAAACCAAATATTGGATTTTAAGGTCATGTCTAGTGAGGTAAATTTCAAATATTTATTCCTTTACATTAGTACATGGAATCTCATATAGTCCCTCATTATTTAGTATTGATTATTAGATCTACAATGATACTACATGTACACAAAACGAAAACTCCTAAGAAACCTTATAAACTGACTCTACATTTGTATAAAATTCCATCAAGTTTACTAGATCTTCAATTTCCCTGATGAACATCAAAACAAAATAAATTGAATTTCATCGTGTGGGACTCCCCAGTATAATATATTATTGTATAATCTGTAAAATGAAGCCCTCTGATTGGTCAGTTCTTGTGCTGTACGAATCCGTATTGCTACTGCGATTGTCCCAGTTGGTCATCTCCGTCGCAATACAGAAAATATTGGTACAGAGTGGACAATCACAGTAGCAATACGGAGGATACAAAATATTTCCTAGGGATTATTTCCTAAGGAAAATGTATTGGCCTAAGATCCTAAGATCATACGATAAAAACGTTATAGAATGATTTAAATGCAATACAGAATATATTCTGCTCTCGATATTCGGTATTGGCACTTGACTTCGTCTCATTCCAATACAGAATTTCTCAAGCAGAATATATCCCGTATTGCACTTCAATTCATTCAATAACTTATAATATCGCATTCAATACAGGGTAGTTTTCAATGATACCAAGTTTAACAAAATATATCATTGAAAGATAGATGTCATCCAAGTTGTCATGTGACCAAAATCAACTTTTCCTAAAGATGACTGAAACCATTGGAACAAATCTTAAGATTGAAAAATGCGTTATTAGATATCTGTTGATCTTTAAAAAAATGTAAAGTCATTTTTTGATACACCCTAATATACAATATATGCAAACAAAACGTTCTTGAATTTTATCCAACACCCATTAGTACATGAAGTACGTGAGTACACAATATTGACCTGTTCTCTGAGAGATCCTTCGTACCACATAATGTCATCACGTGATATAGCTGCTGACAAATGGTATTAAAAGTGTAACAATTTGTTACACACACTGACAACACTGAGAGCCTGAGTTATAAAAAATGGTCGCAACAATTTTTACCATATCTTGGTGATTATATAATAGCAACAAACGCAGAATGAGTAAAGTTCATTATTTGTTTTTATATTTCATTGATTCTAAAATAAATAATATTATTCCACTGTGTGGATATCCAAATATGAGGCCGTTATTGTAAAGCAGTCTTGTGTATCCACTCCAATTTACATACATTATATAAGGATATGCCTGTTCTCCAATGCTATCATTGTTATCCTATGTATCTAACGCTGATGTCCCCAAATGGGAAAAGAGGTTAGATAGAACGTCTTTGGACTTGAGAAGTTGGTCACTGCCGACTAGAACCTGGAAAAATACATTTTATTTATACTCATTCGCCTTGGAGACATATGGACATTTTAGTTAAAACAATAAATATAAGACCAGAGAAAATTATCATATCAGACTAAAATATTTGATATTTTGTTCTCTTCCAAAATGAGACCCATGGACTTAAGTGACCTTGCAAAATTTGAAATTCATAATAGTCTTGACAAACTAGAGTGAATCAATGGAACAATAAAAATAAGTTAAACATATTGTGTGTGAGTGGAATTCTAAAAATGTTCCCCTTAGGAGTTGTTCTACTAACGGAGGTCCGATTAACATGAAGTCATTATGAAACTGGAGAGTGAAGTACAGTTCAAACTGTCTCAGTGAACACCTCTCTCTAGTGAAAACCTGTGTCTAATGAACACCTCTTTTCAGCGCACACTCCACAGATTTCTATGTAAAATCGACTCTCTGTAGAGAACATCTACCTACAGTGAACACATTTTTGTGACTCCATTGGTGTTCACTGTTTACATACAGGCTTTACTGTATACCACTTTCAAAGGTGGTCAACTTGACAGGTATTACTACTTATCTGTAACATACCTTGATATCTTTGTTATATGATGCTACCGTATCTTTGGCAAGTTTCAGCTCTGCGGTGGTGGTGCCACCTATTATGTAGAGTATGAGTAAACCATGCTCATTGGGCCTCGGTTTGCTAACATTCATGAAATATCTGTAATGAGAACTCATGTTTATTTATGTATTTTCACCCCTTGTATATGTATTTTTCTGATAGGTTTCCGGACAACTTGGACCCAGGACAAGTCGGACCCTGGACAAGTCGGACCCAAGACATCTCGGACTCAAGACATCTCGGACCCAAGACAACTCGGACCCAAGACAACTCGGACCACTTTTTTAAATAATGATTTTTATCATTGTTTAGGGTTTTTAGTCTTTGTTTTATGCTTATTAAATATATCATACATTGTGAATACATATTTTGTACTAATTTGATTAAAATGTTTTAATCTGACTTATTTGATAAAGATTAAGTAGAAGCTACTGAAGCTATAAACCCAAGACAACACAGACCACTTTCTGAAATGTTAGTTTTTGTTAGGTACTTTTTTGTTTTCATAATATGGGATTATTTATAAATGTTTAGCATGACACGGTTTAGATATATTGTGAATGTATATTTTGTGTTTACATGTAAAGATGAACAAGATGTTTCAATTAACTTATCTGATGAGAGTTGAGAATACAACTTGTTATATAGAGGTGTCAATGAGTCTTTTCATACAGTTAATACCAACTCATTTGGAGAATCACTAAGGAATTGAAACAATAATAATTTTAATCCTAATCTCATTATCTCATTTACACTCACCACCGTGCGGTCTTATTAATCTCACTGAAAGACCTATGTCACATAGAGATCAATGGAAACTTAAAATTCTGTAAATCCTCAATTTTTTGATCATTCAATCTTAATCTCACTAAAAGATTGATGCCGTATTGAGATCAATGAAAGAGTTTGTATTCTGTTAATCCTAAAGTTTTTCACTGAAAGATTGAGGAATGTGTTTGTATTCTGTAAATCCTCATTTTTATCATTTAATTAAGAAATATAGACTGAACATCAGTCGTTATTTGGACGAATAAACCCCGCAGGGCTAGGCATGAACGCATTCTGTACCCAAACTGGCCAAAGGGAGTGAGGGTCCGAAAGCTTTTGTGCCTAGCCCTAAAGGGTTTATGCGTCGATATAACACCTGATCTGATATTACGATCCGAACATGAAAACTCACCAAAATATTAAGTTGATTTAAAACAATTACATCAAATTAACACAATATTTGAATTCACAATATGTATATACGAGTATGTCATACTAAACATAAAATAAATAAAAAACATATAATGATAAAAATCATAATTTCAAAAAGTGGTCCAAGTTGACTAATCTCACCAATTAAGTTGATTTTAAACAATTACATCAAATTAACACAATGTTTGAATTCAAAATATGTATAAAATGTCAGGCTAAAAAAAATAAAATAAAATAAAAACCATATCATGATAAAAATCATAATTTCAAAAAGTGGTCCGAGTTGTCTTGGATCTTTAGCTTCAATATTTTCTTCTTAATTCTCATCAATTAAGTTGATTTTAAACAATTACATCAAATTAACACAACATTTGAATTCAAAATATATTATATATGCTCAACATAAAATAAAAAAAAACACCATATCATGATAAAAATCATAATCTCAAAAAGTGGTCCGAGTTGTCTTGGGTCTTTAGCTTCAATATTTTCTTCTTAACTACCATCAAATAATAAGTTGATTTAAAACAATTTCATCAAATTAACACAATAAATGAATGCACAGTACATAATATATGTCATCTAAACATAAAACAAAAATTAAAACCCCATATTATGATGTAAATATCATCATTTCAAAAAGTGGTCCGAGTTGTCTTGGGTCCGAGTTGTCTTGGGTCCGAGATGTCTTGGGTCCGAGTTGTCCAGGGTCCGAGTTGTCCTTGGTCCGAGTTGTCCTGGGTCCGACTTGTCCAGTTACCTTCTGATATATACTTTTTAAGATACTTACCCAAAGCCGGATTTGAGGAGGTCCTTGAAAGCGCTAGATTTGTGGTGTACGTCTAATAAGTCTGGTTTGGCAGGATCAAAAATCTGGCCCAAGAGCTGTTTAATTAGTGGTTTATATGATGCAGGAGCTGTCATGGTACTAGCACTCAGTAAAGACCTATAATACAGTTAAACAACACAGTTAAACAAGGCATGAACATGAAAAATGTCATCACCTGCCAATGGCAGACTGTCATTTGTTACAAACATCGAACACTAAATGTCGACCACCAAATGTCAAAGAGAGTGTCCACAAAAAAAGTTCAAGACTATAACAGTATCATACTATGTCATAATCTTTTAAACCACAAGTTTTATTAATTATTCACCTGTTCTGTTTCAGATTCTGCCTAGCCTTTCCCACAGCATGTAATTGCGTGAATACATCATCTAATACATCTTCTAATACATCCTTGTCACTCTGTCTAGTCTCTTCAACTGTAATATGAAATTTGCGTATTGCAATACTTTTTGTTTTGATGATATGTATAACATACTTCAATTTTGGAATTGGTACAATTTAATAATGATTACGCACGCTGCCTCTAAATTATTTTAACAATATTTTTAACATTCAAGGCCAAGATCTAATATTGAAATATATATTTTGGCGTCAAAATGTTTGACTTTAGAGTAAACATGTCATATTATACCCCTATATAGGTAAACATCTCTCTTGTCATGCAGACTTCACTCCACCATTTTATATGCAGTTACGTAATGTCTGATTATTTCATTAATTGCTAATTCCACTGTTTCCACAAAATTTTAGATTTTAATTCATTGCCATCATTCTATTTATCCAATGAGAATACCTTGCATGGCTATGACTTCAGGGAGGGTCTCTCCACCCTCCAATATCCAGATAATTAGTGCTTCTTTCAATTGGTTCACCTCCTCAATGTCTCTATAACCTTGGTTGCCTGCTATGGAGTGTAACCATACCAACAACACAATGACATCATCAAAGCTGACCTCCCTGGAAATGCAAAATGGAGGTTTGTATAATGTAGAAATGTGGAATATATACAAAGTTTCACCCAATCACTGAAACCAATTTTGATGTATATCTCTACTTGAAGCTACCTGGTATATGAAAATGTTCTATCATATAGTATCCTTTCCTATAATAAGAACATGTAGCGTTAGGGAGGAATTCTTGGACTGAAGAAATGGATACTAATTCTTAATGATAAAGATACTAATAATTATGTCAACAATAATATGTTCACAATTTTTTTGAAAATGTTATAATTTATTCACTAGATCTACCTGTCTTCTATTGACATATCAGTTTGCCTTGTAACAGTCTGGTGTAACTGCATATAACCGCTGGGTGAGGAATCATCATCTATACTCTGTAACAACAACTTCTCTAGTCTAACTAATTCTGTGCTTTCCTTGCCATTAAGAGATTGGATTGTAGCTAGGGCCAGTTGTAGTACTCCTGCATGACTTTCTATTGCATCTGGGTTGTTTCTACAATACATGCATGTACTTGAATGAATTGGAGGTAACAAGTAATAAGCTATCTATCTGAATATATTGAATTCTTTTGTTAATTAATGCCTTTAATAAAATAAAATTTACTCATTGTATCTGAACAATATATCATCAATAAAAGCTAAAAAACTATTAATGAAGACTATATGATATATGGGGTGGGCATAAAGAAATGGGGCATATTTTGATGCTACCCCCTGCTCAATTATCCTTTGGTCAAACCCTATCAAATAATATTGAACATCAAAGTACGGCCCATTTTTCATGCCCACCCGGTATAATCTTCATGCAGGATATTTGCTCCAAATAATTTTATATTAGTGTCTCTGAGGTTTCCTGGTGAACGTCTTACCTAAAAAGCTGCACATGTGACTCCAGTGTGTTGGCACTGACTCTCCCTGGTCTGGCGTCTAACTTAACTGGGAGACCAGATGTTGATGCACTTTCTACAAGTCGCCTGTTCACCTCCATAAGGGCTTCCTTTACAAAACATAAACATGTATATAGACATTATTATAATGTGAAGTGAAATAAGCAAAACCTACGGAATGTGTGAACATCTCGCTAAAAGAAACAAATCATATAGGACGACTTTTATCAGATTATTTGAATGTCCATTCCCGCCAAAGTCATAATAACATACTGATGCGGATATTTTAAAACTCAAGCCTGTGAGTCACCATTGGAGGCCCTAGACTAATGCACAGCAATACTTTTCACTACATGCAGAATCCGTTTATTAAAAAACATAAATTAGATGACCGAAATTTGATCAAGCACAGTCTAATTAGACAACGACAGAAATATTTTGTCTGTAGGCATTCAAGTACATGACATGTGTGAAGTGAAACGCATGAAACTCTATAAGTAAAACACCTGTGTAGGTGGAACACGTTGCAGAGTCCCATCGTTCAATTACTAAATGTTAATTAAATCTTCATATTAGTGGAACAGCTCCTTTGTGGAACACATTTCTGAGCTGCAAAATGAAAGGTATTTCAGTCACACAGGTTTTACTATACTTGTTGTTGCCTTACCTTCTGTTTTGCTGTTGCCATGGTGTTTAGTAAAGATATAGCAGTAGAGTCTCCAGGTTGAGCTAAACATCCACTGACGAGACAACTGTCTTCTGGTATGCTATAAACACAATAGTACAGATGAATACAGTATCATATATACAATATCATATTCTGGGCTCACATTTACTCAAGCTGTTGGTTGCAGAATTTATTGTGGAAATTGTGATTTCATGCAGAGTTTGACGTTTTCATGCAGAAGAAGAAGAAAACTAGTATGTGTGATTTACTTCATCTCATACATGTACATGTCAGACAGGACAATTTTGCAATAGGTCATGAAATTATATCGCAAAAATTGAAAGTAAGTTCACATCAATGGCAAAAGTCTCGATTACGTTTTCTCTTAGATGCTAAAAGAATACAATTATTGTAGATGTACACATCTGCTGGATATTCTCCATATCTACATTGTTAAAAGTGCACGAAAGGCACTTTAGAAATGACAGGTGTAATTTCAAAATAAAATTCCTAAGGCGCTTTAGAAATGTTGGTGTAATCAGGATGGCGATTTTGTAAAGCGCTTTCCACTGAAGCGCTTTTAGAGTTTTTTCAGGTGTCATTCCAGCAAGTGACTTTAAGATTAGCAACCTACTTTGGGTGTAGATCTGTAAGGGAATGCATGTTGATACTGACATCTGTAGAATGAGCGGGGAGATTGGGAAGCTGATTGAGGACACGGTCTAGAAGAGTCTCCATGGAGTGGCTCCCTGGGAGTGCTAGGTCCAGGCTTCGGTCCATGAACACGATTGAAGCCTTCGCCTGAGCATTCTATAAACATATGAAGTATATATGCCAGTATGTAGATATTACAATTGACAGTGTTGATACAATTGACTGTACTACTCTACATTATGTTTCAATGTTTGTTAGAAGTTCCCCTGCCTTTGTACATATGCTCAAAACAAAATAATTTCAAAAGTTTAAGATGTTTTTATTTTCAATGTTCATTTTTCTTCCTTCTTGACCTCTAAACCATGGTGCATATACAAATCCAGGTTGTTCTATTAACGGATTTAAGTCCAAGACTCAATGCATTGTTTGTCTAATCATACCATGAAGGTGTTGTTTCCAAACCTTTGCATTACCGTGCAGCGGCAATGCAAAGGTTTGGAAACATCGCCGGAGTGGAATGAAGCAGCTACAATGCAGTGAGTCTTGGGCTTAAATTCTTTTCACACATAGCAAATTTTTTTCTTAAAAATCATCTTAAAGGAACGAAATCACTAAAAGAAAACATTTTCAATGAATTTTTTTGCAAGGGTCAAGTTGGCAACTCATCAAATCCAATGTGAAATCCAATCCAATCCATTCATCACCAAGACAACAGATGTTAAACTAATGACCTTGCATGTGTTATTGATATTTCATGCACTGTTCATAATGTGAAAACTCTGTTCGGATCGGCTGGAATCGGACATACCTTGCCTAGCTATGAGTGGATTGAGGATAATAAACCATTATTGATCCACAAGAAAATGTGAAAATAATTTGAATGACTGTAGGATCTTTTATTTAGCATTTCATTTATCTTGTATTATATTTATACTATTTGTATAAACCCAATTATTTCTACACATATATTCTTCAACATACGCTACCTATAGCAAAAATCTTAAGTCGTGACATGCTATATGTTAAAAGTACCTTTCTTCTGGTTTTGGCTGGCTATATATGTTAAGAGCCTTACCTTTCTCCTGTTTTTGGCTGGCTGGTAGGCTGCTAGTGAAGATGCAACCAATTTGCTGGTGTTACCAATATAGTAACACTCTTCTTGAACCTTTAGAATCTCCAGCAAACCATTTACTGAATCAACTAGACTCTACAAAACATAAATCTACCATCATGAGACATGCATTAAGAATTTAATAACTAAATGGTTTTTAGACTTTGTCAGAATCCAATGGAGGGATATTTGCTGATGGAGACAAAATAGTTATCATTAATGTTATTTACATTGCATGTATAAACTAGTTCAATGGATGTCTGCAACACCACATTAGAAAGAGAAAGAAGAAAAGAATTACCCTTAGTTGTATGAGGTAGTCCTTTGGTAGATGACTATGTTCTACATCTTCTAAGCTCTTTACCACAGCCTTTCCATCTGACTTCTCTCTGATTAAAAAAGAAAAACATTCCACCATTTAAACGTATCAATATGATTATCAAGATACAATTCAAATATTGAATTTTATGGAGATGAATATTTGTTTCATTATTTCCCCATTATCCACAAGATGTACAAAATATTGATATGATATGACGTTTTGTTTCAACATACTTCAACATGTTTGCCTATAGATCCAAAATTGCTTGAAATTCAAGATCTCCATCATACCATTACAGATGAAAATTAGATTCGGAATTTCCAGAATAATTATTATTTCCAATTATGGCAATTTGCCATAATTCCCGGGAATTAAGTGATGTGACGTCATTTTAAGTGAATATCACTATTTATTCGATCAAAATGACGTCATTGCCGGGGAATACACTTTACAAATGTTTTCTAAGCAGGGCTATCTAATGGAATACCTGTATATATTTTTAGTCACATGGTATCTGATTGACCAATGAAAGAACAAATATCACAGCATGGAAATAATCAAGTATATATTAACCTTGAGATACACAGACATGATCTTTTATGTAACAATCAAACTTCTACTATTTCCTTGATTAACATATTTATTTATTTAACTATATGAAACTTACTGTGTTTTCACTATATGAGGTAGATCAGTGTCTAAGAGAGGATACAACTGTGAGTGAGATGGTAACAGGAACAATTCCTTGGTCACCGGTGCTATGTTTATAGGTCTGTGTAGGACTTCTGCTGTGTAATTCTACAATACAATAATAAACACTTTAAATCAAAGTCTATGAGAGGATAGAATTATGGGTGAGAGGGAAGCAAGAATAATTCTTTAGTTTTTTAGTTATTTTAAGTTGAAAGAATTTGCTACAGGTACTGACTGCTGAACACCATCCACAAATAAGTTGGAGACTATAACAATATGTCACCACTTTTGGCGGTGATGTAAAAATGGAACCAAAAAGAGCTTTCATATTGACAGCTGTTCAATTAAGAGGGGGGTTTCTCTTCCATATCAAACATACCATATTTCCCATCCATTCTAGTAATTGGTCCTGATAATCTGGAAATAACTCAGCTTCCTCCTTGTCTCCTAGGCTGCTGCCATAGCGACAGAATCCTTGTAGCGTAACACTTCCTGTTACTATGACAATTACATATTGGAAACTACTGGCACTGAGAATGTCATGGAGAATGTCTAATGCTGTTCCTTCTAGAGGTGAGCTGATTAGGAACACAGCCTTCTTAGCTTCTTTTCCACCACTCTAGAATTTTAAATGTACATATTGTAAAACATGTTGCACTTATGAAAGCAATTTCCTAGTAAAGTTTATGTACTTGACACTCATAGTATATGTATTAAATCAAAATTTCATTTATATACAAATGTACAAACAAATAATTTAACAATTGACAAATCTATGTGAATGTTGAATAAATGTACAACAACATTTGTTCAATAATCAGTATTTGTTCAATAATCAGTATCCAAAAACACACAGTAACATCAAAGCTGTGTTTTCCCCAAAATTTCCTCAAAAATAAATTTTACATTATCAACATGAGATAAAACCTAAGCGGTTTGAAACAAGATTTTAAATTGATTAAAGTAAAACACATATTTATGTGAGAATTAAAAAAAAGCATCTGAATTGTTGAAAGTCAAATATACTGTTAGTACCATCAATTGAAAAAACTTAGTAATATGACCATTACCTCAAATGATGAGTAATATGACCATTACCTCAAATGATGAGTAATATGACCATTACCTCAAATGATGAGTAATATGACCATTACCTCAAATGATGAGTAATATGACCATTACCTCAAATGATGAGAACTGCTTCACTGCCAATGCTCCGGCCTTGAAAAGTTCTATGACTCCCAAATTCCAATGAAGACACTCTGCACTTGAATCATCGATGAAGACAACAGCTTTCTTGACTTTAAGAAGCACATCTCTCAAAGTGTCCCTTACAGCATTGGATAGGTCTCCCATGGTGAGGTAGTGTCCTTTGAATACCCTGCACACAAAAAAGGTCTGGTTACAAACTGAAGGTGAAGCTCTTTTTTAAGAAGTGAAGTCGAACAAATGTAAAAAGTACTCTTGAAAGGAAGTACAATATAAAGCACTACAGTAAAACCTGTGTATAGTGAACATTTTTTTGCCGAAAAACGTTCACTGTTGGTTGGTGTTCACTAAAGTAAGAATTTGATTTCGAGGCATTTTGCCGTATTATCTAGAGACCAGTTATTCAACAAGGCTAAAAGAGAAGAGGGGATAATCAATTTAAATTCTATTTTCTACCTATGATTATCCATGACATTTAAGCTTTAAGGTCTTGTTTTGTTAAGTGTTATATAAATTGACATATTTTAGATTGACTGTCATCTTAATGGTTCATCTTTTTCATGTCAAATTTCAATCTCTTTATAATTCTTTATAATCTCATCAAGATGATCCTTTATATAGTTGAATCCTTGACACATTTGACTCAGTTAAAGGACGTAATTAAATTAATTAAAGGACATGACAGAGTCAATTAAGGGTGATCATTATATTTTTTATTTCAATCTGTTTTTTAAATTGATGGGGATGAGAAAAAGATTAAATTGGGACTTAGCAGATAGAGGTAATTATAATGATAATTAACCAGATTATCTTTAAAGCAATCAAGGCTAGACACTTTTCCTGTATTATAAAAACAAAGCATATTAAGAATTATAATTAGTCACACCTGTTTCAATAAAAGAAGAGATCAACATCTTTACATGTAATTTAGTCAGGTAATATTAACATTAACTGCTTAACTCTGATAAGGCAGTTGCAGAAAATCCATGAGAAATCTTATATCTGATCCAATAATTCTATTGATTTTGCCAAGATTTTATGTTCACTGTTCACAGTAGGTAGGTGTTCACAATAGGATTGTACTTTAACATGGGAGTCAATGGGGGAAAAAGGTTTTGCCGAGAAAAAATGTTCACTTTTGATAGGCGTTCACTAGGGAGATGTGTTCACTAACTCAGGTTTTAGTTTTACTGTAGTATTACATTTTGCTCAAATACATGTAATTTATTATGTCTTATGTTTACAGGAAAGGGACAAATGAAGAACAGAAAACACATGATGGGTTTTCTAGTATTCTTAATAACGAGACAAATGCCACTCTGTTTGTTTTGTCTATATCTCATGATGGAAATAAATAGATCAACAAAGAATTAAAATCTGAACATGGCTTTTTAAAGGTTAAAACATTGACTTTGAATGAGATTCATTAGAGAAGGTTTTCGACAAGGCAATCATGTCTTCAAGCAAAAAATGTAATTTTCAACTATGTTATCCTCTACACTTTGTCTAGCACCGCGTCACTTTGATTGAATTGTTATGTTTATTGTTGAGAAGTAAAGCTTCTCTGCAATTTTGACAGGACAGAACATAAGATTGCGTGTTCAGTCTAAGGATACAGACTATGAAAATGTGGATGAAAAATAGTCAAAAGTTAGGTCTTGTACATATGTTTCTATTTTTTCATAAACTGTTGCAATATGGTCAATTGATTGCTTATTTTTTGAATTCAAAGTACTAAATAGAATTTTGAATCAGACTGACGCAAATTAATCAACTCCAACGCCCAGTTTGAATGACACTTCCTGTGTAAACAAATGTTTTTCAAAACAAAAATTTATAGTCTATACAGTAGTCTGGATATTTTCACTCCAAATTTCAAAAAAATTCAGAATAGAGTATATAGTATAACTGAATCTGTACGAACTATGTGCACAGTATCATCATATAGAACATTCCTTGATGAATTAGCATTAGAATTATCCACGCCATAAAATTCAAGTGTCATTTGATAGCATTACCAAAGGCCTATTATCACCCACGAAAAATAAAAATTTCAAAAGATATTTGGAAAAATATTCAGTTCCAGTTTTTGACCGATTCGAAGTTTGCAACACTTTAATTTCAGAATATATGTCTAGCCTGTATATAGTTGTGTTCAAGTGCGCTTCTCTTACTAATTCTTAACATCAACAGTGCCAAATAAGATAGAAAATGTGAAAAAATATTTCCAACTCACCAAAACCGGAAACGACAAGATGTCAGCTTGATTTATAACTACAACGAAACGAATAAGAGTAAAAAATTAGAAACTCATAATATTTGCACACATTTATTTTTACTGATCTTAAAAAATTCTTCAATAAATGCATATAATGGCAGAATAATATTCAATCGTCAAAAACTTTGTTTAAATTGTTTCTTTCGATTCAAGTGAGTTTGCCATACAACTCAGAGTTTGCAGACCAAAAACAAACATTTACCTGTGTCAGGTGTGATATAACTACTCATCTGGGTTACTAGGGAGGATCCAGCTGCCATGTCGTCCACAAAGGTTTCAGGAACTGCATTGGAGATTCCTGACATAGTAGTCATAGTTGTATACTTCATTTTCATCCTGTTTGTTGGATTATGGGTGAGATAAATTTAGAATATTTATTTGCTTATTTATCATCATTACATGCACATGTATCAATATTATTATCTGTATCATAAAGTTCATCTATGTCACTTGACAATTGACATGCATTGTAGACAATATTTTTGCTGATTCATGTGTTTGAATAATTTGTAAATCACGTTGCACTTTCGTTACAGTCATTGATCGATCATGCACCACTTTAGGGCTCTTAGGGGTTATCTCAAAAATCCTATGTATTATCTGAGACTAACATAAAACATGTTGTATTCATGTATTATGATCCCAGACTTTTTACTTTTAAATGACAACAATTGGTGTAACTAAATAAGTGAAAAGTGAACCCCCCTTGGCAAATCCTCGATCCGGGTCTGGTCACATGTTAAAACAGTTTTCCCTTGATAGAACCCCCAGATAATTTGTTCAGACATAATAACATTAAAATTATAACATATATGTACATGTACTATACATGCTATAACAATACAATCTCAAGTTTACTTATGAAAGCACTGTTTACAATGAGGCGCTTTATGTACAGTTCTCAAGTTGATCTACTTACTCTGAGGGGATTGATTACATGAGACACAAAATTTGTGATCACAATTTCGTGCAGACTGTTTCTGTGAAATCATGGCATTTTATTATTTTATGGCATTTTTATACTGCTACATTATATTTGCAATTGATCTACTTTAGGTGAATCAGGTGAACTTTGTTTGAAATATTATATGTGATGAGACCACTTTTAACTGGTTACCTATGCAAAAAATAATGATTGCTCAAAGTTATTTAATTAATGGGATGACGCATTATCCATAAAAATACCATACCTACTGGAGAAACATAATGCAGAAGTACAGTGTATCTCACTTTAAGTTGAAATACTTATTGACAGTCTATATTATTCGTTATTCAATACATATAGTAGATATAACCACTACTACAAATTATTTGCTCAGGAAGGGTTTGGTCTATCAGGACAATCAGGCACTATCAAAGTTCTTTAGACTTTCATGTGTTAATCTTCATTTTTACATTACCAGAGATAACATATCAAAAGATAACATTTTAATAATACTTCTACTGTTTGAGGATGTACTTGATATTGAAGGGCACCCGTGTTCTCGATTACCAACATATGTGTGTACAAGGTTAAGGGTTCCATCTCTCCTGACATCCTTGAATTTTACATACAAAAGCCTGTCAAGTAAATTTCCACTAGATTTTATTTTAGAAATAATAATGTCACCTGACTTGTTCTACAACACTTGAGATAATCGAAAGTGGTGATTCAGTGTTAGGCCATAAGCCTAACAAGTAGAACATTTATTATTTGAATGAGTAGTAAAATTAAAGTTTAATCAGTATGGCATAATTGAGAATAAATGCTGCCACTTAATAAGAAATACATGTAATATCTACTTTTTTACATTTCTACATTTTACTTATGACATGATAACTTTACCCCTTCTATTAGCTTGGTTTTGCTCCCCAATCTTATTAATAACAGAGGCATTTCCCTGTGACCATTGGTCCTGATAAACAAGAAGATGGGTAAACATTAGACAAGCAACTTTTTAGATACATGTATGGTTACATATTCATATATTAAAAATCAAAATATCAAAATTAAGTGATTAGAAAGGGTAAAGTTATCATGTCATAAATGCATATATTTTTAGATTTAAATTCATTTTTATTTTAGTTTCTTTATAAAAATACATCAATCAAAAACTAAATATCAAAAGTTACAAGATGCTTTGTACATAATATATACACCACTTCGCAATGAATATAACATAACTTTGTTGTTAGAACATCATCTTCATATTATATCCTTTTCAATTTCCTCTTCCGACATGTCATTCTTGCAGTTTTGTTTAATAGCAACCCATAATGGTTGCATTAGAAGTACATGATACATGCATGATAATCCAACATTTTCCTGTAATTTCAGACATCTCGCTCCAACAGAGGAAGTGTTGGAGGTTACTTCTTAGCAGGGAGGAATATGCACTGGATTCCTGTAAGTAACAAACTGTTTTTCCTCAGGGAACAATACAATCTAACGCTTTAATAATGAAGCATCATACACTATACAGGGAAACCTGTATATCTAACCACCTCTCTTATCCAAACACCGTTCAATGTGAACACCTCCCTCTCCCATTGACTTGCATGACTTACGAAACATCAAATTGTGACCATCTGGTAATCTGAACACTTTAGGCCAGTCCCAGTGGTATTCAGAGACAGCTTTGTATATCATGTAGTTTCCAGACATTTTCCATGACATTTTATGAGACTTACATTAATTATATACTGCCTTAAAGAGTAACCTCTAGAAATAAGAAACATTCTTGAATAATTTTTCTAAAGTGATATTAAAATTCCCCTTACCATAAGATACTGGAGAGGTTAAGCTAACGATGTTTTTCACAACGTAACCGTGAACGCAAAGTACAAAAATTAACAAAGGAATGTATCGAGCGCTCATAGTTTTATGCGCGCTTAGTCTACTTCAGATACTCTTTCAGCTTCAGAGTTTCGGGTTTAGAACGGGAGATTTTGAAATTTGACGTTGGGTCAACGGGAACCATTTTACTCGTGTCTATTGAACACTATGCTGTCAATTTTGATTTCGATGCACAGTTGAATTCTTGCTGAACACGATGATGTATGCCATGCATGATTTAGCGCCAAAAATCTTACGAAACGAGCTCGTTTAAAATATGTATTAGAAGACCAGCTATAAAACCGCATCAATGACATACTATAGAATCATATCACGCTATGGTGTAGTCTAAACAAACACTGGATTTGAACGGCTATTTATATGAGAAGGCTACATGAATTTGTATATGGTCGAGTGATACGTACAGGTTTAGTTTCGATTATATATGCAAAGCTTAACCTCTCAACTAAGTGTATATCTGAACTAAACCTGGTAATAGATTTATAATGTTTGCAGTTCAATTGATTCATAGAAGTTTGTGCTATTGTGTTTTTCAAATGTTTTCCTTTTTTCTTCTCTAAATGTAGAATCTCACGTACATGGTTCTTCTATCTGTAGCTTGGTGCCTCCCTGTTTGCTAGTAATGTGGGAAGTCTTCACTTCATTGGTTTGGCTGGTTCAGGAGCTGCTGCTGGGATTGCTATAGGCATGTATGAACTTAATGTAAGTCGTATTCACATCACACCTCATGAACATAGCAAAATTAGGAATAGAATGGAAACCAACTGACAATGTCCATGACTAGGTTCAACCATGGACTTAAGTCCATGGTTCAACCAATGAAAACATTTTTAATTGTTAAAGTGTACATGCATTTTTGATTTAAGTACTTACCTATTTTTGAAGACACAAGAGAAGCTGTTTTGAATAAAAATACATACATTCAGCTGGTTAACTAATATCTTTTCTATAAAAATACAATAGAGCTTTGAAATCTGAATCTGAAATTTGTATATTAAAGGAAAAAATCTGATTTATTTTAGGCAATATTTGTTGTACTGATGCTTGGATGGCTATTTGTCCCTGTTTACATTGCTTCTGGGGTAAGTTATATTGACAATATAGAAATCTGAAAGATCTCTTGAAGCAAACCACTAGAGTTCAAATTAATATATTGTATATTAGAAGAAAGATCTCTCAAAGCAAAGCACTAGAGTTCAAACTAATATATTGTATATTAGAAATTGCAGTAATACATTATACAAACTGTGACATGAAAATTCAAGAAGATTTCATCACACCTGAGAAGGTTAGAGGGTTGCAGTTTTTTGTGTCACCCTGTAAGTTCAATAATATTATTCATATTATATATCATAATGTATACTAGAATTAACTTTTTGATTTAATGATTTCTTGAATTTTAGGTATTCACTATGCCAGAGTATTTAAAGATGAGATTTGGTGGTCAGAGGATTAGAGTCTACCTAGCTGTTCTGTCTTTACTTCTCTATATATTCACCAAAATATCTGTAAGTAGTAGCCATTGGTATAACTGTATTGGCTTTAATAAAATCATTTTTTCATCAATTTTGATTGTACCATTGTATTTTTGCATTATTTTATATTATCATAGAATTTTATTTAATATTCATGATATATCTTTTATTGACTCAATAACCATGTCATGTAAATGACATAATCGTCACTACGGTGTACAAAAAATTACAAACTACTGTACATCAGTTTCACATGTCAGGGTATGATAACAGAATATCAGTGTGGTGTATCCATAACACATGTTTTTATAAAAATGTTTACATAATATTAATCATTTTCCAAATTTTTAAAAGAGTGATATCCATACTTATGAGGTATTTTTAGTGATTATGTAATTTTCTGAAAAATAAGCTATTTCATGTTTTCAGAAATGACATGAAGTGGAAGCAAGAAATCCTTGTGTCAACCGATCTGTGAGAAAGACTTTTTACTCAAATAGTGGTATATTTTCATTTCAGGCTGATCTATTTGCTGGTGCCATCTTTATTGAACAGTCTCTGAAATGGAACATTTATATTTCTATAATTATTCTATTAGCCATAGCTGCTGTCTTCACCATAACAGGTACACCCCTTTGTTACATAATAAACTCACCCATTCAATCAATTTGGATCAATTCATAACAAGGAGGATTGGCTCCCATGGATGCAACTCAATATTTTCTTGTTCTGATTTTTTTGTTGCGTAAAAAGACCAAAATGTGATTCAAAATTTGAAGTGAAAATCATGGCATTCTTTAAAGATAGGATTCATTGTTGGAAAATATTGAGATTGCATTCTGGGTGCCAATCTTCCTTGACTTTATAGATAAAAAGATGATTCAGAATGATGATAGCATTTCATGAAATACTGTACATAGCTGCCATCTTTATTTTACAACTGTAAATAAGTTTTACAAAATCATCACATTTATTATGAAAATAAATGATTGAAAACTATTGGACATTCTTAAGGAAGAGTATTTCTGTCACACTTCAGTCCTAATTTTTACAATGCAAAAATATATGTATGTTATATTTTGATAGCAATTATAGTTTCCTTTACATTTTCCAGGGGGTCTTACTGCTGTGATATGGACAGATTTTATACAGACCATTATAATGATAATTGGAGCCTTTGTTCTTATGATAATAGGTAATAGTAAAAGCTGTGTAACTGGAACACCTTTGGTACCTCTACAAATATTCCACTTTAAAGCTGTTCCATTTACAGAGGTTCATTGAAAATTCAGTCAGTGGGTCACATGACTTGAAATGTGTTCCACTTTTGGAGGTGTACCATGTATGGATGTGTTCCACTTGTCAGTTTTTACTGTGTAGTGTGTACAACAATTTCTCAGCATAGAAAAATAACATGAGATATTGTTTGGCTCTGAGTGCATTGGGAGACACAAACAAGCAGATTAACAAACAAGAAAACAAACAAACAACTAGACAAACAAGCACTTATCTTGGCTATATTATTCCACAATAAACATTCATCAAGCAATATATGAGATCATAAAGAATTTTGAAACAATCCGTTGTTTGATAGTTACACGCTGTTAATGTTGCCCTTTGTGCTTCCATATTCCAGGTTTTGTCCGTGTTGGGGGGTTTGAGGCAATGATTTTCAAGTATCAATTTGCTGTATCTAACACTACCTTACATTCCAACTCTACATGTGGCTTGCCTAGAAAGGACTACATGCACCTATTTAGGGACCCTGTCACTGGGGACATCCCCTGGCCTGGCATCATAGGCATCACTATTAATTCTATATGGTACTGGTGTGCTGATCAGGTATTTATTAAACTATGTACATTTACAAGAGGACCTCTTCTACACTCTAGAGTGATTCATTGACCGAGCCCTAATACGAGCAAATATCAAAATCAAAATTGTAAAATCATCTTTAGTAGTCAGAGATTTTTGTGACAGGCTATTTGGATTCAGAGTTGTAATAAAGTATTTAAAATGAAAATTATTATTAAATTATAATTATATTATTATGAAATTATTATTCTTTAGTCCATTACACTGAATCTTTCAATAATTGGTGGTGCCTGTTAATACCTTGTATGCTTCATGTTTATATCAGTAAAAATGAACCATTGAAAGGATTTTTCATGTCATTTATAGGTTATAGTACAGCGAACACTGGCTGGGAAGAACTACACATATTCCAAGGCAGGGACCATTTTATGTGGCTATCTCAAGATCCTTCCTCTGTTTCTTATGGTGTTCCCTGGCATGATCTCTCGTATTCTTTTTCCAGGTTAGTGCTTCATTTCCAAGTGAGTCAATCTCTTCATACATGTAGATGAGTGACTAATTTATCTGATGAGTTAATAGCAGTTAATGATTTGGTTACCAAATGTTTCTCTGGCGAATCTCTTTTCAGTATCATATTTGTTTATGATGAAACCATTTTCACCAGTTCGTTCATTCATGGAAAAAACTACCATATTCTTTGAAATAAGCGCCCAGAGTGTCTCGAAAATTATGGTGACTATTGAAGTTTTTGTACATACATATTCCTAATCCTTGATTATGTATCTTGTAGACAAGGTTGCTTGTTCCACACCCGATGAATGCTGGGAAATCTGTAAGAGTCGAAGTGGTTGCTCAAACACTGCCTACCCTACTATGGTCCTTGAACTAATGCCTCAAGGTACAGTATTATACTGCATATGTACAGAGTCGGCCAAAAAATGTCTACAGCCTCATTTGCTTCAAGATTTTTATCATATTGAGTAAAATGTGAAAAGTATAGTTTTTTGGTCAACCTTTATGTATGTGCAATATTCATTCTGCAAATTAATGCAAATAATTTTTATTCTACATGTACATTGAGCAAAGTGTGTTCTGTGTTTCAGTCTTAAGTGATCGTACCATTACATATTTTAGATCATTTAAAAATAAACTGAATTCCTACAATAATGGCATTTTGATTCAAAACTGATACAAATTAAATTAAAATCAGCTTTTTGGCCAATTTTTCATCCAGACTTAATCATTGAAATTCAAAAATAACTTCAAAATAGCTTCAAAGTACATGTAAGTTTAAATAGTATGTAAGATGTGCTTGGGATATTGATCTTTGGACAAATGTGAACATTATAAAATAATCATTATTTCTTTATGATCTAGGTGCAAGAGGGGAAAATAATAGTTAGAAAGTTAGTTTATAGAGTTACTTTTACATGGGAGCTGCATGTATATTGATCATTTGATGGATTTAAACATATGAAAAAAGATATTTTTTGTTAAAAAGGTGCAAGAGGTGTTCTCCTTGCTGTGATGCTGAGTGCCTTAATGAGCTCTCTGACGTCTATTTTCAACAGTAGTAGTACTATATTCACCATGGATGTGTGGACACGTTTTAGGAAGCAAGCTACAGACACTGAACTCATGATAGTGGGGAGGTAGGTCCATGTACTGGTAAAGTGTAGGTATACGAGATAATACATGTACATGCATAGTAAATTCTGTCAATTCTGAAATTCACTGGGTCTGGCCAAAAGTGTTCAAATTAGGAGGTGTTCATATTTCAAGCTTTTAACATGGGAGTCTGTTTGAAGATAAAAAGCTGAGACTGAAAAAGAAATTTGTTTGGATTTGGCCAGTGTTGAACAGATTTTACAAAGCAGGAGTAAGTAAATATGTATGTTATAGCACCCACCTATTAGCGTTTTTTGTTGTTTATCCTCAGCTGTCATGTCATTTTCATGTGTGCTTGAAAAAAAACCTGACTTGGACCAAAACTTACTGACCTCTAGGCTGGAACTCACCCTTTCACCCATTATTGTTACAGGCTATGTCTATCTCTTGCATTTGCCCCTGTTTATCCCCCATGTTTTGTCTATGTTCATATAGGTTAACAGTAGTGGTGCTGGTGGGTGTTAGCATTGCATGGATCCCAGTCATACAAGCCTCACAGGGCAGTCAGCTATTTGTGTATATACAGGTATTGTATACAATATTGTTTGCATTACTTGTATTTTGTTTTACATTGAAATCTATGTACTTTGGAATTCATGTAATCTTTAGGGGAAGCCTAAATTTTATGTTTGAACATTTTGTGTGGACTAAAAAGATAATGATGAGTGTACTGCCTTTGTAAATTTTGTTACAGTTTTAGTTGCAAGTACAAATTTGAAGACAATTTTAGCAATTTATTTAACAAATGCCAGCACCAGCAGTCCTGCTACTTCTAAACACTTTGTATATAGTAAAACAATAAAAACAATCTTTGGAGTCATTTTTCCAAAATTGATGTCCCTCATTCCAAAAGGCCCATTTTTAGGACAAAACTGAAAAATATTGAGTGTGGCTGTGAGCATTTTGTTTCATTTTTCAAACACATTTTATGTTACATGATTTCTAAATTGAATTCCAGCAAGTGTCTAGCTTTCTCCAACCTCCCATATGTGCAGTGTACATTCTAGCAGTCTTCTGGGAGAGGATTAATGAACAGGTATTTACAGGGTGACCCTAAAATACTGTCTCTGCTTCATGATTGCAGAACACTCTGTATATGTGTAATATATTGGCATCCCCCTAGTCCATTTATTAGAGAATCTTTGTGATTTTATCAAACAGTAAAATTGTTAAAAACTTTAAAATAAGAACCATTGTTTTTTGTACAATAAATTTAACAATTTAAAAAATTGACATAAATTAAAAAACATTTTAAGATTATTACAATATGGTTGATAGATTACTTAATCCCTAGGATAACATGTACATGTACAGTATGATATTTCCTATTTCAGGGTGCATTTTGGGCTCTCATGGTAGGCCTGTTGACAGGAGGGATCAGATTTGTCGTGGAATATGCCTACCAAAAGCCTTTATGTGGTGAAGACAGGCCAGATCCCACCCCAGATATAGTGAAGAACTTCCATTATTTGTACTTTGGCTCATTCCTGTTTGCTCTCACACTGCTTGTTTGCACAGTTGTTAGTCTACTTACCAAACCAATTGACAAAAAATATGTAAGTATTTTTTCTTTTATTAAAGTGGTTTCACACAACAGGTTATAGCTAAAACTTGTCCGCAACCGCTTCTCGTTTTTATTGATCTACTACTAACAGATAAATCTTGTGAACATGTTACGGATTTTAGAGACGTTGTGCTAAAAACGTTGTGCAAAACCTCTTTTGGCTTCAAGAATATTTTTGTACAAATGAATAAATGTGTATTACGGTATGTACTTCTCCAGTGTGCTTTAATATGTATGTAAAATTAGCAGTACAATGTGTAATGTGCTATACTCTGTAGTGGGCTACCAGCATATGTAATGTGCTATGATGTACAAACTATAATGTGAAATAGCTAGTAATGTGCCAATATGTGCTTAACTTTTTAGTGTGTTTTTCTCTGCAATGTACTAGCGCTGACATATGTAATTTGCAATGAAGTGATTTGTAATGTCCGGCCAGTATGTATAAATTGCTTAACTTTTCGATAAGCTGTTCTATGTAATGTGCTATTTAGTGTAATGTGCTAACATGTGTAATGTGCTCTCTAGCTCTACAGGCTGACTTACTGGACACGGCACAGTAAAGAACACAGGGAAAATATAGATACAATGTACACTACCCCACAGCCTGTTGAATATAACAGTCAGGGGGAGACCGTCATACTTCCTGTAAGCCAATTCTCTGACAAGGATGCTCACCAGTATGAGACTTTGGGAACCAAAGAGAGTGAAGGAGCCTCTGGATTCTCAGGTAGGGTTGCCTTATATAGCCAGGAGGGAGGGGGGTATGGGGGGTTCGATCGAAATGGAATTTCTTGAAAAGTGAACCCCCTCCCCTTGGCAAAAGCTGGCTATGGGCCTGCTAATTTGGGAGTATTTAAGAACATTTGGAAAGAATGCTGAATGTGAATAACAAATTCTACTGTAGATCTGTGGAATTATCCACTAAAGGTTTGGATAGAGTGGCACTTTTTAAAGTGTTTCTGAAAATCAGAAAAACAAATGCTAAATGAATATGAATATTAAAATTGAGTTCCGCAGAATAAACTAATCTTCAAAATCTATGAAAATTTAAAATCTATGACAATTTGAATAAAATGAAATTATAAAATAACATTTTCATAGAAAACACCTCTCTTACTCTGTTTAGTTGCATCTACATTACATGTATTCATAAATAATGATTTGTAATTAATTTGTATCAAGATGGTCATACAGAAGCCAGTAAAGCTGAAGCTGTTAACTTTACTGAAGTGACAAACACTGGAGGGACTGTGGTGCTATCTGAAGAGGAACTCAGGGAAGGTAAGTGACTACAAGTAAAGTGGAACAATTCGTAAGTTTGGACCACCATTTATAGATTTTAAAGGCATTTCATGCTCGTTCATGGGTTTTACTGTATATTCAGGTCACTGTTATCAGTACATTGGATGGTACAGCCATTTGGCTTTCCATTTTAGAATTTCTGCAGTTTTCAGGTGGTTAATATTTCAAAATATTTCTTTTATATACACACTGTTTGTTGCAACCTGAAATGGATAGGTCAAGGTTGGTACAGATCGCTATGTGAGTTTGTGACATTATGTTTTGCTGGGCTATCCCCTTTTTCAAGTTACACTGACAACCGCTGAATTTTGTGTCAAATGTCTTTTTGAAAGTTTGAGCAAAATGTATTAAAAAACATCAAAATAGCTTGACTGGTATACTCTAAGATGTTTTCTTTTTCTTGCTGTGTTTTGTAACCATTTTTGGTACTTTTCCATTGGCCCTTGCACTGTTTTATCCAACCCAAATTTACATTCCCCATTTACCTTGAAAATTCCAAGTAAATTGGTTGAAAAATAATGAAATGACAGATAAATTCCCAGAACCTAGTGATCACCCTGTACATGCTAATTTATTGAGTGACCCTGTATATTTCAGAGGCAAATGCAGATCTTCCATGTTGGAGACGTGCGTTCAACTGGATATGTGGTATAGAGAAACAGCTAGTTCCAGAGATATCTGATGATGAGAGGATAGCCCAAGAGGCCAAGATGATGTGTATTAAAGAAGAGAAGTCTTGGAGATATTTCACAGATATTAATGCCGTAATACTCATGACTATCGCTGTCTTTATCTGGGGATTTTTTGCTTGATGACATTTTTTCTCTAAGTGAGGCCTGTGGTGGTGTTTTTTCTGTGGTACCCTCCCTCAAAAGAAGCCAATTAGATGGTTTCTGAGATACTGTTACCTCAAGTTAAAGTTTATCTCACATAAAAGATATCGTCACCCAAAGGACCTTGATTTTGATCACAAGAAAGAAGCCTCAGTGCAGCAGTGCACAGGCAGGGCTTTCACCTTGGCTTTTTATCTTCCATTTAGCAAAGTGGATATATCCTCTCTGCCTCAAATATCTCTTCCTTCATATGAGGGCGGTGGTTCTAGGTCTCTCATATAGTCTGTGTCATTATCATTCTATGTTGTCATAGAGTTTATTACTCGAAATAGAAATGCATAAAAATTCATTCCTATCTGGATAAAGAGGAATATTTTCCGATGCTCAGAAATATCACTATTGTTGGTTTTTAAATAATTTTAAAATATGAAACATACATATTTGTTTATATATTTTTGTTGTAATACAGCGTTGTATTGATATAGTACAGGGTGATCTAGAAGTAAGATGTTGCCTTTTTAATACCACTTAACCAATCTTCCTGAAGAGTTTTAAGAAGATTGAAGCAGTAGTATCCAAATGGTAATATTTTTTATCTTAATTCTGGATCACCTTGTATCATATACCGGTATACTGTATCTGAAAACTTACAAATTGCAATTTAGTAAAACTATTGAACCTATATATTTTACCCCAATTTTCATTCATGTTTGTGCCATTATATAATCAATGCTTCTTTTGTGATTTTATGATTATAATGTCTTTGTACAGATTTATTTAGATCAAAAATAGATTTATTTTATATGTTTTAAAATTATTCTATAATTTATATCTGCTGGGTATACAGTTTTTTTTAATTGGAAATATAGGTGTCTAACCTCGTATCTTAATGTACCTTAGATGCAGTGCTTGCAGTTTCTTGCACTGGAATAAGATGTTGTAAAACAAACAGATATTAATCAGATGGGAATTATAATGATATATACAGGGTGGGCCCAACCTACGTACCCCAAATTTTGCAGTTATATAGTGCCAAGGGTTCTAAGTAATAATATAATGTAACGAGTCCTTCAACTGGGATTATATTTCATCTAAAAAGAGGAGTTCAATTGGTCCGCCACCCCATTTGATGATAGATTTTAGTTTTAGTCGCCTTGCTGATATAGCAGTATCAATGAAATGTTAGCTATATTTTTTTCAATGTGTCTTAATTGCCAGCTTTAGTTAAGCAATTTTTAAGATCGGGTGCCTTCATACCATCTCCTGGAGACTTCCCCATGCCCTATACTCACTTGGGTTTGAATAAAGGCTATTAGCTTGCGGTCATCAGGGCGTATCAGTTTAGGAACATTATGCAAATTATGCTTATTTCTCATGGCACACCACATGTTTAAGTGAGACGCTGGTGACATATTTTATTCAAGTAAAAGTGTATAATTCATGATCAATGGCTAGATAACAACCTCAAGTTTCATTTGGTATGTGAATTATGATTTTGTATCAAAAATTAAAAAGTTATAGCATTTTGAAAAAAAGTGGCGTTTTTTTGGCCCACCCTGTATATATTATAATTATATACATATTATATATATATTGAGATATAGTTAAAACAGTTTTTACATATCCATACCAACTATTATGTAACTTTAAAAGGGTTTACACACACAGGGTTCTAAAGTGAAAATGTAGTACAGATGTACTGATGATTTGTATAGTTCTTAAGGAAAAGTGTTCACTCAATTACATTATCTCTATATTTTTATACCAAATCTTTTATTCAGCATTTTCAACTTGAACATTTCCAGCTTTAAACAGAATTAGAATCTAGATTTAATTACATTATTGTCCATCTGGGATTTAGTAAATGTACATTTTTGTCATAAATGTATGTAATTGTAGTACTGTAGAGAAATTAATTATTTTTAACCAAAATTATACAATGACAGTGCAATGTATTAAATGATTATTTTTAATGTTAGACTTTAATCAGTATTTTTATAGATCGAAATTGAATATACAATGCATAAATAAAGAATATATACATTATTATAAAAAAAGTTATTTTCCTATTTACATTATATGCAAAGTCACATTGAGCAATGCTACATGAAACTACATACATAAGGGTTATGTACTGGGAGGTTTTGGATATGGGGTTTATCCAGAGGGAGATATGCATATCTATATATGGAAACCTCAAAATCAGGATACGGGATATATCTTACCAACTTATCTCCCTAAAACTCTACTTGGCATAGGATAAGACTTCATATTATCCTTTTGAAGTCATAACCCGGGGGCCATAGACGTGATAGACTAACAATTGGTGAAGACAGGGATGGGGAGGAAGAAGATGAGATTTGAAACAAAATAAGATGTAAGGAAGAAATGAAATGGTTAGGGCTGTCACCGGTTGAGGGGGACACCTAGTTAAAGAAACTAGGGAAGACAATGGAAATGGCTAGGTGGGTGGCACCAAGATGTTCCATCTCCTTCGGGAGATAATCACTCTACCATACCTAACACCTAGAAATGCATAAGATACTTTGTTTGTTTGTCTAATTGTATTGTTTAGTATATTTATGAAAGTGCCTTAGTAACATCTAACATTCAACCGATAAACCATTAATAAGGAACAGACAAATAAAAACAAATACATAATCATTACTAATAAGCCAAATGGGTTACTCATGAACACCAAATTATATAGTAGAGTGATAATGCGATATAATTGATGTAGCTCCTCAACTGTTTCCCCACAGTGGCCATCCAACCAACAAGAAATCAACCAAACGAAAGAATTGTACTGTACTGTATTGGTTGTATTGAAGAAATGATAATAACAACAACCAAACAAACAATCAACCAAAGAGAAAATCAACCTAAGCAATCCAACATTCAAGATTGATTAATCTGTTTCTGAAACTTTGTGGTTTCCGAGAAAACCTGGTTGAACTTGGTGAACTCTTACCTCCCCTAATCAGAATATATAATACCAATATCAACACCTACATTTCTGGACAAATACTATAATTTGTAAGGAAATGAGGACAGAATGAGGCCAGAAGTCGTACGATTGTCGCAAGCCTATCATTTGCGGCTACACTCGCGTACAAAATGGCCTTAACGGGAACATAAAATTCATACAATGTGAAAATAAGGGAACGATCACATCAGAATTATTTCACCCGAAAAAATTATTTTATTTTAGTTGTTATTTTCTTTAAAAAAAATAGTATAATTATATGTAAAGGTTTAATATCCTTTTTTGTTATGAAGTATATTTCTATATGTAGATATAATACCTTTTGAAAATAAATGATACAAAATAGTATGCCAACGGTGTATTTCACATGGATTGTTTAATTTTTATCACCATTGTAAATGATAGTGTAGAGTGACGGCTATGGCCGCCAGAGGGTACTATTAACTCAAGCAACTAGGTGGCACAATGACAGATAGTAAAATCTGACATCTTTGTAGATAAATCCTCATACAAAAAACTGTCACAAATATTCCCATGAGATTTTACTAACATTTAACTCACACGTTTTCAATATCTAAAAATCTAAAAAACGATTAAGAAAAAAGGTTGCAAGGAAAATTTTAGTATAAGTTAAGATGCAATATGCAAGGGTAAAGAGTGTCATTTGCCCCTCCCTACCCCGTAGCATTAAGGAACATGATTGTTAAAGTTTCTATACGTCCAAAACCATACTTTAACAACTACACAATTGTGAAAAGTATAAAAAGTCTGATATGAAAAGTTGACAATACAAATGAGATTGATAAAAAATAAACTAAAATTGGCAGGCTAAAACATGAATATCTCAACCAGTGTTATATTCGGAATAACTAAATAGTTGGATATCGCATTTTAATGCGTGTATTCTAATGCGTAGGGTGACGATATCAATTGCAACCACACTGTCTGGTGTGAGTTTGAGACCAAATAAATATTGGTTAATATAATCATTAAGTCAAAGGTAAGATATGTTAATCTTATTTACCTAAAGGTAAAGTTTGTCTGTTTTGCCAACATAACATTTTGTAATTGATAGCCATGGTTCTGATTGAATTTCTGATTGTTTTTAATATTTCTTGCAATAATCAATTTTACTGTCTACGTTCTCTAGTCATAGAACATTCATGTGACACTGTTCATGGCTTTGAAACAAAATCTTAACGATTGTTCAAAAATCTTAATTGAGCATTTTCATACACGTACATCCAAATATTTTATCAATAATTCTTCCTATCTCTTCACTATCACATTTACTTCCCCAAATCAGAGTTGCTTCTCTCGTCGTGTAAAATTGTTTCCTGGATTATAAACTACCAAATAGTCATTAACAACACTATTTGAAATAATCATTGAAAATTGAACAAAATAAAATTCATAAGGAGACATCACGACCGCGTTATTCTGATTTATTAATATTTAAATATTGAATACACGATCATGATCTCATTTAGCTTCACATAGCTCGCGGCACTTTTAGTGGTGCGATACCCTTCAATTTTAAACTACTCAGTATATGTTTTATCAATGGACACCTGTAATTACACTTTCTGTTATTGTTTTGATAATTATCAATTTTAATTGTTATTTTCCGGTTATATATTGGTGCCATTCTAACTTTTTGTAATGATTGTGTAATTTGAACCTAATAATGGGGTTAATTGCTGCACCAGGCGTTTTTTAACAAAAATATAATATGATAAAATACAAATATCGCCAATCCGGGATTTCACAGACTTTATATAGTAGGGTAAGGGGAGGGAGTAGCAATGTGTTGTTTTCACAAATCTCTGCTCATGATCTTATTCCTTAAAGTGGCAGTAAAGAATAGAAAGTGAAAAATATCAGAGGGGCAATGTTTTCAAAAATGCCGCCCTGAAGCTAAAATTTTATTTACAAACTGATCAATTTATAATTGAGTTCTTTATACTTTTGTTCATCAGGTCTGCTTTTTAAGGAACTGCTTTGTATGGAAATCAATTCATTAATTAGTCTCAGCTATACCGTCTTTTCCCTCGATGAAGACATTAAACATATAAGAAGTATCAGCTCTCATAGCTAGGTAGACTGAAGACAGAGCGTGTTAATCATAAATATTTCTGGGAAAACCTTTATGA